GAACACTTCGCGAACAAAAGACTTCACGGAGAAACATACCGTGGGAAGTTCGAAAATACTGACGTTATAAAAAAAACGATGATAAAGCGTATCGATATTGATTTTGTCTCGATCGACGATATCTTTTAAGGTCGTATGTAAGAGTTCATACAATCTTAAGCATTTCTATACTCTCGGCGACGAATTGAAAGTGAAATAAACAGGAAGAGATCGTACATAGAAATTGTAAGTGATTGATATGATGAGTTAAATCATATGGTAACGTCTTATCGTGTGGAAACGGGTTGCGATAAGCGGCACGAGCTTCCCGGAATTCTGGATGAAAAGTTTGACAGACGCATAATAGAAAATTAACGGACAAAGGACAGGCTATAATAGTTTCATGCGAGCAGCAACATCTGTCAGTTTACGTATCGGAGAAATGATTAACTGGAGGAAAAGAGCGAAAGTTATCTTACGCGAGGAAGATTTCGTATTATCGCTCGCTCCGCTGCAGGAGCGTGTTGAAATAACTTTTATATCTGCGGCTCGTTGGAAGATGTACTTAGGTACCAATGTCAATATTTACGACTGCGGACTTTTATGCAAACTAAAACACTTGAAAAATTAAGACATTTATCATTTTTAAATATTATTAGATGTACAATGCTCTCTGTAGACTGGAGTTTAATTAATTTCCTTAAAAATTCTCTCTTTCTTATCGAACCACAGATATTTAGGAGGGAACAACGAAATCCAGGAAGCGAGGAGTCATCGGGAAGCCGCAATGAAACGTGTCACGTCTTCATCACGGTACTTGTAAAACCCTCTCTTCCTTCCTTCCTTCCTTCCTCGACGCGTTTAAGGAATGAAACGAGGTGCAATGACGAGTACGAGCTGACTCATAATTGATTCGAAACGGATCTGCATGTGTGACGTGTGTGTACATTTCGTGAGAGCATCACGAAGAATACACACGAGAATACGACCTGTTCGTCACGCTTAAAATTACCTTTTGTTGGCCTCTAGCTCGCCGTAACTTTCGACCGATTCGCGTGGTCGTATTCACGTTTGTTTTCGAGATTGAATAACCATGGACCAGAAACAGTTCAATGTACATTGTCCTTGTCCGATTCCATCTTCGCGCAGAACATTTGCACTGCCAATTCGGAAAATTCAATCTTCGTTTATCGTTTTAAAACGATGCATTACAATTTTCCTGTTCAATGTTTTATTTAAACCGGAGGAAATCGCGTAGATACGTGTAATCTACTTATTTCGCCAAATATCAGCCAGCGGTGGCCTGGAGGTCGCGAGCAGTTCACCGGTGCACCGATACGACGTCCGATTAGATAGGATCTTCACGAAAAGCGCACTCACGTATGCATGAGAACGCCACGGGAGGTCGGAGCACAGTTTCGGATTCCACGAAGGGCCGATTGGCGCAGGGCGAAAGACAGGTTTCATTGAGGAACCTCGGCGCGTCGATGAAATAGTAGATCGAACAGGGAGATCGACCAAGTATTAATCAGAGCAAAGCGAGAGAGACCAGCAGCCGCCCACGTAACGGAGCAACGATGACCTAACATCCTGTATCACAGCCAAGCTCGTGCTCTGAATTCGTCGAACACGTTTCCTTACTTCACACTACAGACATACATAAACGTATCTACGGGAGACTCGTTTCCCTCTTACATCCAGGAGAAAGGAGGAAAGTGATAGTCTCAGATTTTTGTACAAAATAGGTCAATTTAAATAATGCATATTTAATAGCAATTTCTTTTATCATCGATCACGTTCAGTATCTTTGACTTCCACGAGGGACGTACTTTACTACCGATCGTTTTAAGGAATCTCTGAATCTTCAAGAGTATATTTAAATTCTCTATGTACCTACGTAGATGAAATGCTTATGGTAATACGCATACCGTTTTACTAGTCGTGTCAATAATGATGTAATCTTGTGTCAGTTACGTAGTGGAAGTTTTCAGCAACAGACACGTTCCTGAGTTTATCATAACCGTTTATAAAGCGACAAGAATAAGAACGAAAAACTGCCGAATAAATCTGTGTTTAATTACAATTCTGAGACAGTCTATATGAAATCGCTCATGATTTCTGATATGAGATTTGCAGAGAGCGATCTACCACTGTCGGAATCTATTTCGAGAATCAATGCGAGAGCAAAACGGTAGGAATCGGGTGCATTCGCCTCGCGTTAGATCGACGAGGACGAACGCTCGTAAAGCTTCCACAGGCTGGCCTAAATATAAGCGCCTACGAACGTCTCTCGTAACGAACTATGTAATCCGGACTTCCTGCACCTTTCGTTGTCCTGAACTTCGCCCTCTTAATTTCCCTCTCGAGTTCCATTGTCTTTCGAAGAGACAATATGTCGTCAAACCGAGACACGATTCCGATCGTTAGACGAAACATTATCAATTATACCGTCGATAGATTGGACGAAATATTGTATCAATTTTTATTACAATATTTCAACGACGTGTAATGGATCGAAGTACCCGGGACCTCCGTGAATGAACTGTGAGTAATCGACACGGGTGATCTTGGGGAGCGCAGGCTCATTTCACAAATCAATTCGGCCTGTCAAATTATTCGATCGAATCCAATTATCCGAACGAGTGATCGTAGAATGCGCTGCGCCATTCTCAAACTCGTCCAGCCAGAAGACGCGGTGATCGCGACGAAGACCGCGGGAGGATCAATTTGCATGCGAACCGACCAAGGATTCGAGCACAGAAGTCGCGATGTCCCTGTGCATCGACTTCAAATCCATTGGTCTGGAATTAATTATATTGGTACCGAATCTCGGCGAGCTTCGCGAGGGGACCGATTAAACGTCGATTCATTCGTTCGGATGTGAACCGATTCGGCCCGGGAAAATATTATTAAATGCGAATCACGTAACCGATATCATTGCCCGAGTTTCCTTGTGTTCGTATTATTTATATCCTGGAGAAACGTCTATTCGTGGACCGCGTGACTCACAAGGAGCTCGAAACGAACGCTAGCATCTTTACTCTTTTTCTTGTTCTAAGGTCCTCCGTGCTTTTTCACTGATACTCGTAAAATCGAATCGAATTCGAAGTTATTCCTAATGAAATTCTATGCACTTGTAAAAGAATAGAATAAGCAGCGAATGAAAATACTGATAGCTGCAAGTATCAGACCTGAAGAATAACTGTCTAAAATATATTTGTTCGATTGATAACTATAAAAATTTATGGTCTGATGGAGAGAATGGTCAGTAGCATGGGTGGCCGGAGAATAGACGCTCTCGATCATACTTATCGCGGATGAAAGTTTATCGTCACTGAGATGATCGAGAACAGTTACAAGTGGCCGGATGAAACGAGAGAACAGACTCGGTTTGCTCCCGAAGGGGGACATAAAAGGAGAGCGGTTCTAAGCTCGTCGAGGAGCACCTGTTATCCGAGGCCCTGCCCTCGAATGGACCACCACACCGTCACCGGGGAAATCGATGGGACGAGACTGCCTGTCAACTAGTCATCGAGAGTCGCCTGATGCGTGAAACCCTCGTTACCAATGTACATACGTCGCTGTGCATCTTAATCCTATTTACCTTTTCCTCTTATTAAACAGTTTCGAATTGTTTTCAAAACAATAAAGTAAATCGAATCGTAGAAAGTCTTCTTAAGTTCTCATTTCATTCTCTGACGTGCTCTAAGTATCCGATCCATGCTACCTTCTAAAAATCGACTAAAAATCTATTGATCGATTCTCGACTTAATTGTAAAATCTTTAAAGAAGGAATCTATATAATTAAACTGCATTACTGTTACTGCGACGGCATCGTGTCACGTTACCCAACGCTCGATTAAACGAGCGCTTCTAAATCTAGCGCGACTATAGCGGAAAATGAACGAGCGCAACATTGTTATTTCGCGACGCTTGCAAATTCAACCGTAATTACGGAGGTTGATCTAATCCCGACCATTTGAAAATCTGACGCATAGGTGTACGCGGGCAAATTACACGTTTCCGACGATGTCGTCGCGGTGAAACGAAAACCGATCCGCCGGTCTCGTTGCCGAAGGTCCGGCCAACGCGATGAAAACGACAGAAGCCAGTTCGCTACTTATGATTACACGTGTAGTTTTCTGGGACGAGGACTTAAAAGGAGAGCGTAGTCGTCTTATACTCGTGGGAGTATCTGCCATTTATGCGTCAATAAACATCTCCAGTTGTACCATTCAATTCCTTCCAATCGTTTTTGCAAACATTCTTGAGCCATTTGCGTCGGACGAAATCGATGCAATATTTCGTATAACGATTGACGCGATAATTCGTATTATACATTGACCGGTTAAGAGAATCGTTCGTAAGGAAATTCAAAGTGTTTTTGATAAAATGAACCTCCTCCTTATCTCTATTTGAAATTCTTGTAATCCGATAGATATTATACCCGTTTGCCTTTTGCGGCTGACTGCACGCAGCGACATATGTTTTTTAGTCAGCGAAATCGAAGGAAATTCTTCGTCATCGGAGAAGTCACATGAGTCAAATAACCAAACGAGTTCGATGATTCAGACTTACAAATTATTTTGTACATACTCGTACGGATTTCTGGAATTATGTGGGTTACTGCTTACCAGTGAAAAATTTCTAATTACTGAGCTGCCTGGGGGCGACAAAAATAATAATTGGTGGTATATGAAAATATACAACGAAATTACAAAATTCTGATCGTCGTTCCACAACGTTGATCGATGAAAGATAAGGAAAAGAGGAAGTTTATACAATTTATGATTTCAAAGATTTCCAAAGATATCATCGACAAACGTACTGATGTGTAATGAACGTGTATTTTCTGAGAATTTTCTCAGTCATCTCGTTGTATGTCACCTCCTCAAAAGTCCAGAGTAAACGTGTCGTTCTTTCAACGACGTATATAAATTACACATCTGTCCTAATTATTTCGATGTTATCTTTGTACATCTGTGGAGTCGTGATTTATAAAATGATAAATAAAAACTCACCATCCTCTGCCGACTCTGTCCCTGTACACCGAGACGGCAAATCCAAACATGGACTGGCTGTCAATTCTGTAAACCGCATAGTGTTTCGTTTCAACGTTAAACGCATCGGAGCACCAGGGTGGCGAACCGACGATCAAGACGAGGCCGATCAGGCCTGTGAAAAAATTCGCGAACCACATGTCGACACGTCTCTGACCACTTGATCACCGACTCGATCGTTCCACGGATTCAACGCGATGAACGTGTGTCATAAGGGCGTACAGTGATAAGAATGATAACGAGGTGAAAGGGTTCAGGGTGGTAGCGATCGGACGGAGAACATGTGCCTTCTGCGAGGCTTTTCCCGGTACCGGCGAGGCGAAACACTGGCGAACGCTCGAACGAACCGCGGTCACGCGAAAGTCGGAGACGTCTGCTTGACGGACGGCCGCGGACAGACTGAATACAAGCCCGTTCTTTCGGTTACTCTTCGCTCACGAGGGCTGCAACTCCCACTGCACGCGGTTACCGAACCGAAGTTGCGCTCTGCTACTCCGGTGTGCTTGCATGCCGCAACTGCGACCTCTGCCCCCGTCGTTTCTCATCCGCTTTTTTCCGTGTTGCTTCGTAACCCCGTCGTACCGTTCCCCACCCTCGTCTTCATCCCTGGTGCACTGCAGGGTTGCATATTCTTCAACTGCCGCGTTGACAATGAATGATCGAACGTCTCTGAATCTGAATCAACAGTTCGAGTATTATTTAATTAAATTTTGCTGTCCATAAAGTCAAATCCGAATCAAAGACCGAACGTTAATTGTCTTAAAGATTTAATCGCTTATCTGCAATCCTGGTGCACTGCGAGTTTATCGGGCGACCGTTTTCGTCAACCGAGACATTCGAAATCGAAACGCGTGATAACAATTAATGTATGCATTTACAAAAAAACAAAAAAGTATATGAAATATCAGAAACCACACGCGCATGTGACATGACCATACACATGTTTTGTATAAAGGCGGTCTAATAATGATTACAAATGCGATCGACGAGCGAGCGTACTTGGGTTCTTATGTCGTGAACGAATTAGAGATACGTATGTATCATAAATGATAAGATCGTTAGCCACGATATTTGATGCTTCACTTTATGAATTATATACTGTAATTCATAACGAGGAAAATGTAGTTTTTTTAACTAAAGAACGTCCATAAAGATTGTAGGCGAGATGAGTCGCAGGGAAAAGAACTAGGAGATGACAATTAATAAAGTACGTATTCTATTCCGCACTAACTGACTGAAGTTTCCCTTCAAACTAATTTTCGTAAAACCAGAAAGAAAATCTGGTAAAACTCGTACATTACACATTTCTACCACTATCTTTTAGAATTTTTTATGAATAAAAGTATAATCATCTGTGACATCAGATAATGAGTCAAGCGTCTATGCAATGGTTTTTGTTCCTGGAATGTTCGTCATTCATTGAAGTTTGATTACATGTAGAACGAATTGCAAAAGTCTAATGAGATCAATGAACGCGACAGCGTCCTAACAACACGTAATTATATACTTAAAGGAAATTGAATACGTGATTGCGACATGGCAATCAATTTAATATGCGTATTTAGGGAGTGAGAAATCGTCCATTAAAGTTTAACGTTATGTACGTACATACCTGTCACATTGTTCCTCGAAGTTCAAAACCACTTCCCACTTGCTCGTGCAACTTGTACAACCAAAGATACAACTTAGGATATCTAGCGAAGGAATTCAAAGTTACACGACGCAATCTCCTACAGGTTTAAACGGTTTAAACCTGCACCCCCTGTACCGAGTATACCCTACATCACCGAAGTCCCATAAGGCTGCCACCTGCCGCCGTTCTTCATTGAGTTTCATCGTTCCTCAACGCATGGTGCTGTGGTCGAAATTCCTGAAATGTAAGACGCTGCTTTTCAATTGGTCGAATTTAAATCGCGTCCAGGATGCACGTTCAACGTATAATGTCAACGGCTTTATGGCGGGACATCGCGTGTGTTCATGGAATATTAGTTGTAGTAGAAGCTTCGAGTAGAACAGAGTAGAAATGTTTCACGTACGTCATATCATTGAATTTCTAGTTAGAGTTCGTATAGATTGATCCTGTGAACGACCCAAGTGATTTGGAAGCGGAGTAATCGAACAAAAGTTCTCGTGAACGTGTTACGTTGTTCACATGACGAGATATTGTAATTTCGATATCGTATAATTTGTTTAACAAATCGAAAATGACTACCTCGTTGTCCTTGTTAGCGAGCCACGATGAAGTGGTTCGATGTGCGAATGTACTCATTAACGGGGCTTGCGAAGAAGGTTTGTATTATACTACACCTAACTCTTCGATGGTCGTTGGAGGAAGTTTAGCCTAACATCTAATGTAAATAGGAAAACAGCTTATAATGTATCTTGTTTCTGTATAGAATTCTTAAAGTTTGCAATAAATCAAGAGGAAATGAGACAGAAATGGTTAGCATCTATACAAGAGTGCCAACGTCTTCACACTGCCTTGGAAAAGGCTCATCAAGAAGCAGCTGATTTAGACAGAAAATTGAGTCATGCCAGAAGACTCCTGGATGAGGAGAAGAAGAGGAGACGAGCCGTCGAAGATCAGAGGAACTCCTTGGTAAATCCTTTAAAACAACTTTCTTGTTAAAAAACTTTCAATGTATTTGTCATTGGTTTTTCATCGATCATCTTTCCTTACAGGAGAGACAAATTGCCTTGGTCAGAGATCTTTTATTTAATGACGGTGGAAGGAACTTGAATAATGAAACTCGTGAAAAATTACAATTCTTAAATAACACTACGTTAAATGGACGTCATAGTAACATACACGTAAAAGATGTACATCAAAATGACAAGTAAGTTTTCTTTTTATAAGAACTGATCAACACTTTCCTTGAATTAATTTATTACATTAAGTAATTGCTGTTTTTTCAGATTAAATACTATAGCGGAGCTGGACTCCACTGGCTCAATTTTGAGCGACTTGAGTTGCTTCTCAAAGTCGGAAGATGATTTAGATGTTAGTGCAATGATTCAACAGAGTCAAAAGAAACGTGAATGGAAGGAGCACAGGCCAAGCGGTGAATATTCCACAAAGAAACGACGTAGTACAACGCAAAAAGTTGCGGAATTAAATACATCTGATAGAATAGTAGCTACGACTACAGTAGTTATGCCTAAGGAGGGTAATATCACCGCTTCTTCAGTGATCGAAGCTATACCCGGTGACGAGAACATGGACCCACAGGGTCCTTTGCACAGCTCGCGTAAAAGGCGTAAGAGCGGTGATCGAAGCAAATCGAAATTGGCTCCGGTCGACACGAATGAAATACAGATAGATACTGCGCCTTCTGCACCGAAAATGGAGATTCTCACGTCAGGATCAGACTCTGAGGGTGTCTTTAAACCCAGCCCGAACATAGGTGGATACACTTTAAATACAAAATCTGCTAGGGGACACAGTTTCATAGCGAAGACAGTCATCAAACCGGAAGTTTGTTTACCTTGTGACAAGCGAATTCGATTCGGAAAAGTAGCTCTGAAGTGTAAAGATTGTAGAGCCACGGCTCATACTGAATGCAGAGACTTGGTACCGTTGCCATGCGTGCCCACTGGAAATACTCCGACTTTACGCGGCTCATCGGGGACAATAGCGGATTATACCCCCATGATTCCACCCATGGTCCCATCGTTAGTCGTTCATTGCATCAACGAGGTAGAGTTAAGAGGAATGGGTGAACAGGGATTATACAGAGTGAACGGTGGTTCGACAGAGGTAAAAGCTCTGAAAGAGAAGTTCCTCAAAGGCAAAGGAGCCCCCAATCTCTCTGATGTCGACATACCTACCATATGTTCCACTCTGAAAGACTTCCTGAGATCGTTGCGTGAACCGCTGATCACTGTCGGACTGTGGGCGGACTTCGTTCGAGCCACTACCATCACCGACAAGCAAGACGCCGACGCAGCTTTGTATCAAGCGATATCCGAATTGCCTCAGCCTAACAGAGATACGCTCGCCTTTTTGGTCTTACATTTGCAACGAGTATCGAGTAGCCCCGAATGCAAAATGCCAATCAGCAATTTGGCGAAAGTTTTCGGGCCTACGCTGGTAGGATACAGTTGTCAAAAACCTTCGCCTACCTCCCTTCTTTCGGAGACGAGTAATCAAGTCGCTGTTAGTATCGTAATGAAGAAACTAATCCGAACCTCAGCAGTTCTTTAAAAATACTTTCTTAATGTTTCACAGATAGTAGAAAATCTGCTGAAAATTCCTTCGGATTACTGGGCAAATTTCGTTAATCCTGAGAATCTGAATCACATTGGCGCTCATAAAACCGGAGAATTGCAACACACGCCGTCCCAGGAATCGTTACTTAAGCGCAGTGTTTCCCGCGGCTTCTTCAATACTCCACTTACTTCTAGGTTCGAATCTTATTCCCGTTTACACCGTTTAAGTGTTTCAGTATTTCAGTTACATTTCATATCTGTGTTTTGTTACAGTCGAACGTTCATGAGGAAAAACAAAAAATACTTTGCGACGCCTCCCTCCAGAGGAATTTTCTAACTAGATTAGGTATGTACGCTTATATTAAGGTACGAATTATTTTTACATGAAAATGAATCGACCAAACGAACATCTATAAACGATGAACTATTCTCAATGCGCAACGTGATCTTTTCTGTTCGAAATTTTGTAATATTTTAATTGAGACGTATCGTCTAGCGCACAAAATGACATTAAGATAATGAAAGTACAATATTAAATTCGTAAAATTAAAGTGTTAATAATATATTATGTTAATATTCATTACTAGTTCGTGTGTGTAAAAAATGTTCTGATAACGTAATCTTAATATTATCTTAATTTGAGACTATGATACGATTAAATGAACAGAGCACTTTTCGTTATTAGATTAATTTAGAGGTATTCGGTTAACTAAAAATACGAATTATTTTGCTTCAATATAATTGTATTTTCTTTCCGCAAATGTATAAATACATATGTTGATAACAAAAATTAGAAATTTATAATTACTAGTTCCATAGAAACAAGAAATGCCTTATGCGAGAAATAAGTAGACGCGGAATATGTACATACCACTGCATTTACTTCGAACTCATTTATATAATCTTTTCTAAGCGTCCAGAAATATCTTCAATTTTGTATACATTCTTGTTATGACAATAATTATATCACAAGTGTATGTCATATTTTAAATTATTCCTTAACAATTTAAACTTAATTTATTTAAACGAGGTCGTTTTGATAGTGCCCGAACAAATTTCTTATTATCACAATTAAAATGCAAATTTATAAGATTTCTATTTATTCTACCTTACGTCGCTTTTGTATACGACCTCTCTTTGATCTCCCAAGAAGATTCCCAAAATTGCTTCATTCTATTGTCCCCATTCGAGCAAAAATGCCTGAAGTCTTGAATCAGTTTCTTTTGAAACAATTCATCGCCAGCTAGCGTAGTTGACGATTTCCACTTTCGACTGAGCATGTGATTCCATGACCATAAAAATCCTATCTGCGTACACAAAAAGATCACTCTCGCGACTGTTAACACCCTCGAACAAGCCAGAGATGCTTACCCTCTTGTCGTTGTTGAAATTATCTTTATTCTTTCCGCTAACGTGTCTCGTAATGTAAGCTTCGTGGGGACTGGACAGACTCTGATCAGAATGAATCGGGTAACCTTTCTGTCCCGTGTTTCGTCTCACGATATTGGTCGCAGTACGAGGACGCGACTTTGTACTTGTCGTAGGATGTATCAGTATAAATGCATTGCCAGTCATGTGAACGTATTGATGATCGCTTTCGGTACTTTCTATCAGACACGGGACAAAGCCGAATCTTTGTACAATTGCCTCTTGAAATAGAAAGAGCCTTTGCGCGTGAGTTTCTTCTTGAAATTCTGCAATCGATAATTAATTAATGATCCACCTCTCCAGAGTTCAATGTTTGAACTTATTTGGAATTCGATGAGAGACCTTCGAAAAGGTGTTGTTTGTTTGCAGTGAGACATTCCATATTTAACGTTATAAAAATAGGCCCTCTTAGAGGATCGCTCTTCAAAGTGAACGGCAGGGCTAGTAGATCGCTGGGAATAGGAACCATTTGAATTCCAAACATTTGTGCCTTACGTTGCCAGACGAATATCTTGTAAATTAGTGTAAATTAGTGTAATTCAAGTGTAAGGGAGGAATTTTATCTTAAGACAGCATAGAATGACAATGAACTTACGAGTTCAGCAACTATACTACCGGACGATGCTACCCACTGCATTACGAGTTCATATGAGTGATCCACTTTGTATACGGACTGATATCTTAAATGACCCCATTCGATTCTGTCGCTTCTATTGTTTATATCTATGTCTAAATGAGTATGCTTGTAAGGTGGAACTGAAAGGAATGAAACCGGTATAATGCGAATTCCTTGAAAGGTTTTAAGACAGTACAATAAATTGAGATTACCTTGACATTCAGCGGAATCGAGCGCGATTAAATCGTCTCTGAGAAATGATGGCACGTTCGATTCATCCACAGTCTCGTTGTTGAGTATCGTTATGGGGTTTGTGATCGGTGGAAATGAAGCTGGAGAAGTAGGCTCGCACCAACCCTTCGGTGCTTTTATTTCAACTTCTACCCATTCGTTCTCAAAGCTTTGTAAATCGCCGAGAGGGGAATAATAATCTCCAGCTTTTAGGAATTAAAAAATTCATTTTTAAAATCGCTCCTGCTGGAAGAATCAAGAACAAGTATTTCTTTTTACCTCTTTGATTCTCTTTATCTTGTACTATGTGATACAGATAGAATCCTAGAATAAAAGGCTTCGAAAAATCCCCGGACGCATGACATATCAGTTTGTCCTGTATCATCCCCTGTGTTAAAAATATTCAAATACAATTCAGATTAGATTTCTAATCTACGTACGTACGTGAACAAGGGTTCTTACGTTCATAACATTGATAGCTTTTTCGACCGATACTCCCCCCTCTATGTGATTGTTTAACCATTGCACCGCGTCTGCACTGACAAACGTTTGACTCGGGAGAGACGGATGCTGCGTAAGAAATCCTACACCGTTTTGCGGATGTTTCATCGCTTCTAGAATTTCATTGTTGGACACGGTGTTCTTCAACTTCGTCAATTCTGTACTCGTACTGTTGACAAAGGTCGACCGTCAGTTAAATAATCATTGAAAAATAATTTGCGAATCATTATACCTGTCGTCGTTAGAATCGAAATGATCTTGCTGCTGTTCCAGCGCAAGAGGTAACACAGCTTCGCTAGCTGGCGAGACCCGTCCCCTGTCCATCACTTTTGATCCTGATCTAGTAAAGAGAAAGGGAACGATCACGCATTGCTTTCGTCAGTCGACTACGATAAACGATAGAGAAACACAGAGCGTTCGAAAGATTAAGCAATGTCTAAGATTGCAATGTGAAAGCGACAAGGTCTTTATGCATATTACCAGTTGCGTTTTTTTCTCCAAACAAAAATATAAGAAAAAGTTTGTTTAATTAATATGCATGTACATAAAACTAGTAGGATGGAACCGACGTTTCTGTATCAAGAGGCGCGGTAGCGGCCTGAAGGTAAGTTTGAGTATGAAGAGACTATGAGGTTTCAGAACATTGTATTAATTCGGTAACTTCGGGATGTACACGCATACTTTGCCGTTAGCGGCGATCATTGAAATTCGAAAGTTGAATTAAAGAAATTGAAAGGAATAAAACCAACCTGCATGGCACGTGGCGAGGAGTGTCGAGGCACGTGCGGGCAGTCGCAGCGGTATTCACTACATGCCTCTCCTGTACAGAGAACCCCGTCACTCCCTCACTCACTACCAATACCTTCTACCGTGCAGAGCATTCGTACGACGGTCGTCTAATCGTATATACCTTAGAATTACAACGTCTTAATCTGTTTTCTATTAAATAATTGGTACAAATGCTCTGCGCCTTATCGTTACGTTTGATTGAAAAGAATGAAAGCAGCTGAAAAGTACAGAATTGGCAGTATGTACAAAGATCGTTCTCTATTCACGAGTACACTTCCTTCCAGCGTTCTCTATTCCGGCCACAACCCTCCAGAAATATAACGCATCGAATTACCTCTGCGATCGTCACGAGACTAAAAGCATGTTTCCAAGCAAATTATGAAATGGTTCAATGATTTGAGATTTTCATTTAAACCGTAAACTTCCCTCCGACTGCTACCCAACGATTCCTATAGACATGCACATATACTTGTTATCGTCACCTTCTTCTACAGAATATGCAGATGTGCATTCGTTGATTTTCAAAATGCATCTAATTCACTGATTCCAAGCTCCGATACTCTAATGTATCACGTAGTGTAAAAAAAATGCTAACACGTGAATGCTAGACAGTCACTAACTCGGATGGATTTAACTCCTGTAAATATATGTAAAAACAGTTTGAACTCGTCGAATATTTATCTCTTCGGATAAAAATGCAGATTGAAAAATATTCATGCTAGACGTAGCGCACGAAAGCAAAGGAATATAATAAATCGTGAAAGCACAAATGTTCGATAGACCCTCGATGGGCAAGACAAACAGAGGCCGCAAAGCTACACCATTACATTTGCCCAAAAAGAAGCAACAGTGCCGAAATCGTCAATCTAAGCGTATTCAAACCTTGGTCTCGGTTTCTCTGGTAGACGATTGCTTCCGAGCCGCTCCCGGAAGGGAGAGTTGCCAACTAGACTGGTCTGAAAAGCATGATGAAGAAGTATGGGTAATTGTAAATGTAATGAAGAAGCTCGTGATCATGAAGAAGTATTATCTCTGGTTTTGTTTAACTGTAAATAGCATCGCTGTTAAGAATCCGTATCGAGGGAGCGTTATCACGACCGTGACAAAGAGAAGGAGAGACTTGTAAATAAAACGTCGGCATTACACAAAAGCTTGCTAAAAATTATGTGCGCATTCAAGGCAGATGTTAAGCATGGTTGCATTCATCGTGTAACACGTTGTGTAAGCTGTCCGAACGTATCTGACTCTTTTCATTGAGATCTAGCATACTGATTGGAAGATGGTATGCAAAAAGAAAAGTACGTCTGGGTCTCGTGGCCGTCGTTATTAATCGCCGAAGGAGGCGAAGTATAAAATACATACTGAGACAGATGGAGAGATGCGAGAGTGAATTCGTTAAAACCTGGATCAGCATATCGAGGCTACAGGATGCGAAGGATATACCTGGTTAGTGAGGACTATCAGGCTCGTGCTGTGCCTGCGCCTGGTCAAGTGAGAGGCGGGATCTCTCTGGGAAACACCACCTAGAGTTGGAGGATTCTGAAACATATCGTGCTAAATACCCATTGTCTAACATTCCATTCGTTCGTTTCTACGTATGTTTTATCTGTACATTGTTCATGTGTGTTATAATATTCTGTACCCGTTAACTACGGTACTGCTTCAGAAGTGTTACTCGAAGATAATTAGTTCGGTTGTTTTTAATTATTTAAAAATGTTATACCGTAGGTGAAATACCAGTTGTCAAATAAGCGTGTAAAAAAAATTGTGCTCTTTGTCTTTCTCAAATCTGAATCAATCTTCATGTTCGTAATGTTCTACGTGTTTAATAAATCGTTGAGGAACACGCTATATTAATACAATGGCACTACACAAAAGACTTGCAAAATGGAAATTGCGAAATAAATACAAAGTTACACAAATTCTATCGAACAATTGATATCTCAAAAGTAATGAGAGATTCGAAAACTGTTCGTTATTTAGGCACTGTACATAAGGCATGCGACATTCATCTTCTGGAATGCAAAAATGTAGCATAATTCGTTTAAAAAAAAAAACCGTAAAAATTGTTCAAACTGAAAAGATAAAAATTCAAGCATTCTCGTTGTAGTTTACTCAACGCCTCTCTGACCTATATTCTATACCTACTTATATCGGTTCCTATGAACCGCAACATTAGTTTACATCGTTATAAAATTGTTGTTAAAAAAATTACCCAATTTTTGTTCGGATTCGGACGTCGTATCTTGTTTAGATATTGTTCGATGAACCGTAGAAATCCGTCCAAGAGAGATATTTGCTCAGAGGCGGTGAGAGGTGTGTATATGTCGCATCGTGTCGAGCCTTCTAAAAATTTTCGAGTCGCCGAATTGTGTAAAGGGAGTAAGAAAATGCGAAACCTCCAGTATTTCAGTGCCTAACAATGAACAACAATTTTGTTATTCTGAGAAAACGATATCCGTTGCGAAGAATTGTATGTCTTACTTCTACTAAAGCGAAATCGGTATGACCCCTGGTACAGATATAATGATCCAAGTAATTCCAGTTGTAGTTTTCAAGTTTCTCCGTGGTAAAAGACACCCAAGACACTTCGTATGTATCGTGATGGGGCGCATGAAATCGATAGAGATAATGTATATTGAATGGAGGATAAGGGTGTCTGTAAAAAGACATAAAACGTTTGCGTGTCAGACGTCTGTTGCGTACTATGCGAATTAATTCACTGCTCTATCTCTTACCTTGGTCGATATCTCGTCACGGTTATAGAATTATCGAACAGTGATATTTTATGGAATATCCTCCCGATGCTCAGTAAGTATTCCTCTCTCGGCTCTGATTCTGTCTGTCGCCCACGCATCACAGAACTTATCGTAGGCACCGCACTGCTGCCAGGCGTGTTGCTTTGATTTTTATTAGTTTGTGGCAAAATAATTAATTGAAATCCCTTGATCAAACAAAGAGTGGTATAAGAGAAAAGATGATCGAAGTTCAATGAACTAATTAGCAGAATACCTGAGCTAATCGTTGCGACACGAGCTCTTTAAACACTTCGACGGTTGTCAAAGGTTTTTTGTATATCGCCCGTTGTTGTGCAAAATCAGTGTTAACGTCGTCGGGTAATAAATTGTAATCCGATACAACGTAATCGTTTTGCAGGCTCCGTTTATCAGGGAAATAGTCCGTGGTAATAGGCAAGCATGCTGGGATTGTCAATGATTTCCAGTCAACACCTAAAAGATAAAGCGAAGAATATGTACACACGTATGTACATATTTTGACAATTAAGAAGTGCAGTTTGTATATCAGACTACTGAAACTGAAGACTAGACGATCTATTCGATACATCGTTCGTTTGCTTTAATTCGGGATAGAAACGTAAGGGTCAACGTCTGTGGGTCGTTTCCCACAAAATAATCTTTTATCAGTGTCACAGCAGATGAACGATATACGTTATGTTAAAGTTCGTATAACAGCTAAGTCTCTCTACTAAATTTAAGTCGTAGCAATTAATAAATATAGTGTACAATAGATTTTTGCGAAGTGATAGCAAATACTGTGCACGCATCCCAGCAGACAGAGATAATGATTCATATTAATATCACGATATGTATCTAGTATCTAGTATCAGTAGATGGAATCTAAGATGATCGTGTCTAAGTACTACAGCATGCACCGCGAGATATGCTTCATATTGACGATTCGTGTCATGTGTTTCGTTAGAAATTCTTTTTAAAGCAGCAATATCAGATTGATCAATGGTGTTTACTTGACTACGTATACATTCCTACGTGTAATGTGATGAAAGAGGAAGTGAATGGCTGAATTCAGGTAAGAACCGAACTATCGTACTTTGACAATAAGTTCTATGGAATGTTACAAATACTTGTTGTTAAGAGTTAGCGAAGACAATGATCAAAGCGAGATACGAAGCAGATGAGATAACGTTCGAAGAGTCTGTGAAAGTGTACAAAGATGATCACCAGGAAGAAATTAGAATTTTGAACGGTGCAAACATTTTTCATGGGATACAAAGTGATAAGAAAAAATTTGTCGTACGTGTATAAATAATTTGTAACAATAAGAAAATACACAGTACACTGCTACTGGTATAGAATGAAGGCTACTTGTTTGCAACAAAGAACATACATGCATAGAGTAATAAGAAAAAGAAACTGTGGAGCTAAGAAACAAATTACTGTTAAAACTTGAATATCCTAAAATAAATGTGTACCATAACCGAATCAACCCCCAATTAACGTATGGCGCTGACCTATGATTGCTGTTTAATGTGACATCATAGTTGTACATCATACACGCGTCAATGCGTCCAGCGTTGCATCCCATAAAGACGTACCATAGCATGGAAATAAATGTAATAATATTATTCATATAAATGATCGGTGAGTCTCAAAAATAAATGTGAAACATGTTCGAGAATGAAAATATTTCATATGAATGGTGATTATGCGATCGTGTGTCAAACTTTCAATTCATCTCTCCATGAAGATCAACATTCTCTGAAGGTATCTATCAACTATTTTCATTCTTCGAAGTAATGGCATTTTCTACCGTATCTACGAGTCCTTCTCAGTACCAATTGAAAACAGAATTTATCAAATGAATGAGTAACACCTACATTCTTTATTCTTGAGCTTTGTCAAGAAGCATTATATGTATTTCGATCGTTGGTTCTCTAATGTCTTTAATCACACAACACTCGTTGAGCACTGGAAATTTGTTTCAAAATTCTTTCTTCAAAGTTCAATCTCACTTCATAACAGTAATACAACTAAAATTGTTACTTGAACGTGTTATCAAATATTATTGCCAGTAGCTATACTCGTATCTCAACATTTCTCTCGATGGAATAGAACATATGCAAACCTGTCGTAAGCGCTGGTGTCCACTCCTGTTCACCGGTTGCACCCCATAACAAAGTTAGAGACTTATTCCCTACGGGAGATGTCGGATGTAATCCTTTGTCACCGCTCGACAGCGAGAGATTTAATCTCTGTCGACTATTCTTTGAATCTATACAGATAACAGTTTTAACGTAATAACAAGTAATTTACATATACATATATGTAGCATACTAACGATCATGAAAGTGATTCGAGTTAGCGATATCGCTATGATCCGTGGGAGATCCACTTAAGGTGGAAATAGCGTCGGATTGTGATTCTGAACACATTTGAGTCGGCACAGCTTGATAATGATGTTGCTGTATAAGCACACCAGTCGGTCCTGGAATTACATTGTGATTAAGCAGTTGATCGTATATGAGATTCGACGTTACATCGTTGTCGAATATTACCTTTCGGAAAAATATGGGTCCATCTCCGTCTGTTGCTAGTAAGTTTGATCGTAACGTGGGATGGATCAAAAGGATTAATGAGTGCTCGACTAGGCCTGATGCTCGCAGGTTGAGATATCACATTCGTCGGACTTCCGGCGCTACCGACGACTGGTCTAAACGGTGGCGATATTTCTGAATCGGTCAAATCACTCTTCACCGATATCCTTGACTCTGCGTAACACGATCATTAAACATATTTCATCAGATCGGAAAATATGTGCGCGTACCATTAACTTCTCCATTAGATTCGTTGCTAGGAACATCGTCCGTCCTGGACGGTATCGAGATCGCTGCACTCCTAGACGCAACCGGAGGTGAATCCGGTGGTGGATGATGTATGTCGGGATCTGATAACTTCCTCTTCAGTAGTTTCAGTATGTGTGCGTTATTGTGCGTCTCCATGCTTGCAACGCTCGTCTTCTTAGTCCTCGTTGTAACTCGTTGCAAACTGCTCGTAGCACGTTCTAATTAGTATTTTTATAATCACAGTTTTAATCGTTGAACTTACCTCGACGTATGAACTGTAGGTAATTGAAAAACTTGCGCATCGTACGCATCGTAGTCGAATAAAGTATTGTGTAAACATTCTTTCGTATCCTCTTGTAAAAGTTTGTTTTTGTTACACTGCAATTTCCCGGTTTCTGTCGTTTGTTTCGATACCCTTTGAGGAAGCTTTATGCGGGGTATGAACGTCGAGTAGGGAATCTTTTTATTTGTCGAATAAAAACTGAGATTAATCCAATGTGGCATGCTGTAGTCGTCGGGTACGTTAATGGACGCATCCTTATTGTGAAACTACAATTAAATTATATTTTAGTTTCTTCAATGGCGATTCATCATTCGACTATAGATACCTTTAACAGTGGCACTGCGTGCAACGGTTGTTCTCCGACGCACACTAAATCGCTACCAACTCCGTTGTCAATGATCCTTTGTTTTGTGACGTTCGTTAATTCTCTGTCAACTTCAAAAACGCCGACGCCAGGTGTGATCACTACCGACAGTTGACCAGTTCTATCGAAACTACGATCTAAATAATGTTTTTCAAATACTATAAGGAAATTAGATTAGAGAATGTACTTCGTAGCAAATTCATTGTATAACGTGCGTGCCTAATCATTACCATTTAAGGACATGTTCAAAACTTCTAAAAAATTGCCTTGAGCCGCTGTCGAGTTCACTGCTTTTGGAATGGCAACACCTGGTTTCTGATGATACTCTAACACGATCTTTTGGTAGTCCGTGAACAGTTTACGTAGTTGTACCAACACGTTGCTCCAATCTTCGAACCTTTCGTTCTGTACCACTACTCTGTAGAAATCTTCGTAAAACCTTCCTCTATAATCATGTTGCAAGCATTCTCTCATATGATTCGGAAACTCCTCCAAGCTGTTGGCACTGTAAAATGTTCTTGAAAACAGTACTATCGTTACTTCGTGATTGCTACCGTTCTTTTTCCATTTTTGAAACAAATCTGCTAAGAAACCATTGACCGCCTTCTCGAAATACAAGTCACCGTGAATATCGAAATCCCACATCTCTGAACTCATTTGAATAAACAGATAAACCATACTTGTCGAGGAACGAAATACGACCTGAAAATATACTCTTATAAAATCAGCTTTAACTTCTAATAATCAAGTACCTACTTTTGTGTCATTAGTGATAACACCGCAAGCGACTCGGTCTCCCTGCGACCACATTTCGTATACTTGGCATCTTATACTGCCTCCGCAAAACTCGATCTTTTTGTTCATATATACGCAAGTGTTTACCTGCGAAAACCACGTACGTTTATCGAATGACAAACGTTCACAGGTTTATAACAGAGATACAAGGAAAAAGATCTACCAAGCTATTTTTTAGACGCCACATCTCACTACGGCCTAGATACTGATCTTTGAAGGTAAGCTCGACAGAATCCAAAGCTACATCAACCGGATTAACAACGTTCATGTACACATCTCCGAAGGTTCTTAACTGGAACATAGTCGCTACGTTATTCTCCACGCTGATCGTTTCGCGGCCTTGTAGATCTTCCTTGAAGGAAGTGACTTGAAGAAGAAGGCGACTGAACTCGACTTCTGGGTGATAAATTTCGACGACATCTCCAGTCTTTATACCGGGATTAGGATTGATTATCAGATCCTCCTCGCTGAAGGTCTTCTGATGAACTATCAACTTATACAGCTTCATATTGCCATTACTCCGTCCAATTTATTTAACTGTAATAAACGGTACAAACAAGTTTCATAATGTGAACGTTCAAAAATACGAGTCTACTAGCTATGAAGTTTACACAATATGAAAGATCCAGAACGTGGTCGCATACGTATTGTGTTGTATCGTCTATCATTAAAAAATTAAAATAAATTATGACACGAGAATCTCTGACACCTTTCTCTCTTCCGATGTTACTTCGTACTGATGTATGCTGATGTACCATGTACCGATGTACCATGTAGATCGTTCATTCACATTGTTACACACGATTTGAATCTCAAAGGACAAGAAATATTGTTATCGTACAGGGGATCATATTTTTAGCAGGTCCCATTCTTTCATCACGTATTCGCTTTATTACTGAACTATAGAGTATCTTGAATGCACCTTAATCTTTCGGGTATAGGTTAGCACATTATTCCCATGCGCATACACGCAGATCGTGCTCGCATACACAGTGCGTGCAGCGTCCACGGTATAGACAGACCTCACAGACCACGAACGCACAGAAGAAAGACGGATAAGAAGGAAGAGGATAAAAGATATACATACAAGTCAGAAACAGTCAGAAATTGTGAATCATGGAGAAGAGAGGTAGTGCCGAACTTTTAAATGTGGAGCAAAACAATTCGAAAAATGCCAGTTCCGATTCTCTCAACTCTGACAGCAAGAGCAGTTCTCTCAACTCGAAGATAGGTCAAGAATCGGTAATTGAATTTTACGTTATATCTTTGCACTTAGGTCTGTTTGACGTTTAGGTTGAACCCAACTGTATGCGAGCATTGCAATTGTTTAGGAAAGTTGGGATAAAGCATCGCATTCTAAAAGCTTTTCCTCAAGTTCTACCTCAACAGACAATAATATCGTGTCCGCTTTAGAAGCGAGAAAAGACAATCAAGTAAAAGTGAGTTCCACAGAGACAGAAACTGACGTAGTTCATTTTGGTTCGTTTTCCTTAAACGCTTACTCATTACCAGAATTTTTTTTCAAACAGATTTTATTTCAAGCAAACCCTTCGGTTTTACCCGTTTGGTCTACTCCTTAGTTCAGCGTTTGTGTTTCGTCACTTTTACTTTTTCCAGTAGATAATCTCGATTAAATATATATGTTTATTTACTTAACGACTGACTCGTATGCTGTTATCTCGCAGAACTTATCCAGCGGAGAAGCAGGCCCACCGCTTTTAAATGGGGAACGTGTGCAAGGAATCGCTCACGAGGTGACATACGTGTGTCCTTACTCAGGACCGGTCAGGGGCATTCTTAGTATAACAAATTACAAGCTTCATTTTCGGAGCGTCGACCGTGAGACGCCATACATAGTCGAAGTACCCTTGGGCGTTGTCAGTAGAATCGAGAAGGTCGGCGGTGCGTCCAGCAAGGGTGAAAATTCTTACGGGATCGAAGTGTTTTGTAAGGACATGAGGACACTGAAATTCGCTCATAAACAGGAGAATCATTCCAGAAGGGACGTCTTCGAGAAACTCCAACAATATTCGTTTCCCTTGTCCCATAAATTACCTCTTTTCGCGTTCGAGTATTCCGAGACGTTTCCTGAGAACGGATGGAACGTTTACGAGCCCATAGCCGAGTTAAAACGAATGGTAACGCGTATGATCGTACTCTCCCTGCTGTGTGTACGAAGAGACTCATTAACAACGAATCGTTCGTAGGGTGTCAACAACGACATGTGGAAAATAACGAAAATAAACGACACGTATTCGATATGCGACAGTTATCCAGCCGTATGGGCGGTACCCGCGGCAGCGACCGACGAAGACTTGCAGGCGTCGGCAGCCTTTCGAAGCAGAGGGAGGCTTCCCGTACTTTCGTGGATCCATCCGGAGAGCCAGGCAACGATAACTCGTTGCGCTCAACCGCTGGTAGGCGTCGGCGGGAAGCGTAGCCGCGAAGACGAGCGATACGTTCAGTTGATAATGGATGCGAACGCCCAAAGTCACAAGCTGTTTATCATGGACGCCCGTCCGATGCCGAATGCGGTTGCGAACAAAGCCAAGGGCGGCGGTTACGAGAGCGAAGACGCTTATCAAAACGCGGAACTCGTGTTCCTCGATATCCACAACATACATGTAATGAGAGAGAGTCTCAGGAAACTGAAGGAGTTATGCTTCCCGCAAATCGACGAGGCTAGATGGTTCTCGGGGATAGAGTCGACTGTTTGGTTGAAGCACATAAAGTACATACTCGCGGGCGCGCTGAAGATCGTGGACAAAGTCGAGAGCCACAAGACTTCGGTGCTGGTACATTGTTCCGACGGTTGGGACAGGACGGCGCAGGTAATTACGAAAGGACGAATAGAATCTTTTTCTCACGTAAAATATACCCTTAACATACGTATACATAACTGTTTACAGCTTACAGCTCTCGCCATGTTAATGTTAGATCCATATTACAGAACTATCAAAGGTTTTGAAGTGCTTATAGAGAAAGAATGGCTCAGTTTTGGTCACAAGTTTCAACAGGTATGCGCTGCGCGATCTCATTTACGCTTGTCGATCGATCAACTGGTGATTCGTTTCAGAGGATCGGCCACGGCGACGAACACCACAGCGACGCGGACAGATCTCCGGTGTTCTTACAGTTCATGGACTGCGTCTGGCAAATAAGTCGTCTGTTTCCCAATGCGTTCGAGTTCAACGAACACTTCTTAATTACTATCCTCGATCACTTGTACTCTTGTAGATTTGGCACATTTCTATTCAGCAGGTACATCGCACATTCTTATATCGAGTATTCCGCGTTTATTAATTACAATTGTCTGTACAGCGAACGCGAAAGAATTCAGGAACAAGTGAAACAGAAGACCGTGTCGTTGTGGTCTTACACCAACAGTCAATTGTCGTTGTATCAAAACCCGTTGTACTGGACCCATCCCAATTATCAGGTCATTCCGATGCCGATCGCCAGCATGAGATACATCAAGCCGTGGAAAAGTTTATATTGCAGATGGAATCCGAGTATGCGGCAACAGGTATGTGAGACGATTTAGGCAGAGACGAATCCGACTCATCCATGGTCGTTGTTTCTTTGGCCTCGCATTTATTCCCACATGTTCTTGAAATCGAAGGATCCCGTATACCAGCGAACGAGGGAACTTCTGGTCTCGAAAGAGCAGCTCGAGAAACAGCACCAGGAAGCGCTCCGCGAACAAGCCAGCCGAGCGAATCGAACGATGGCGTCACCGGGGCCACCGAGGATACATTCCCCTGTTCATTCATAGCACAGTAAGGACTCCTTTTCATCGTTCAGCGGTCTATAGTTATTTATACGTGATACTTCCTCTCTCCCCGCTCGAGCTAGTGCACGATATCGGTCAAACTCACTTCGCTATGTACAAAACGCTCATTGACGAAAGAACAAGAATATAAAGAACATTTGCAGCGACTGTCTCTTTCAAACCATCGATCTTCCTTCCTTGAAAATTTAAAGACAAAAAGGTGCAAACGTTTTCTAACACGACGAAACACGTGGACAATGGAATGGAGTGTCTTCGAGAGCTTCGCGTTCATTAAAACCCTTAGAAACGTCTCCAAGCAAGCATTTATTTCATTCTGCTTCCTCTATTGATAATCCGCAATATTCGTATGAACGACACTTCCGCAAACGAGGATAGACAGACGGCACAAACGTAAGTAACTAGAAGGACTCCGAGGCCTATAGAACCCTGAGAACAGATAAGCGACGGAACAGTCAAGACAGAATAATTGTTCACAAACAAATGTTTTACAAACGTCACGCTCTGACCATGATACAAATACAATCTGTCGTTGCACTTACAACTGATAAGACGTCGATGTACAAAGAGTAACTGTTGGCTCTATGGAGCGAAACTATAATGAAGGGGTTTATGAGATAAGCACAGTACGTCAATCTACCGAGTGGTACCCATGCGCGCAGCGTCAGGAATTTGTTCAGGATACCTGTAAATGTAAGAACATTAAAGAGGTGGTGGGTTGATCAACGTGTCCAAACATGAGCCACCGGTGGTACACGCCGACGACGTTTTTTATCGCGTCAAGAATATCAAAATTAAGAGGATTTGCTTACCACCGTGGTTCGTGATACACATGAGTACCAACCAGGCTATACCAAGGCCCCAGGCTGTTCTCGTCACAGATACGTACAAAATGCTTAAGAAAGAAGATAGGTCTTTGTCTACGAGACCGAACAGTATCGAACAATTACAGAGTATCGCCAACGTCCAACCAACGAGTAAGACTTTCTGAAACGTAACATCGATAAGAATACATGGTATCGTTCGTGTACTTTGCACATGCTGATCAGTTCGGTGTTCTTATGAATAGCCGTGGAAATATTCTCGAAATTGAAGTGCTTGCTGCGCGAGCGAATTACTTTGGACAGATGTAATTTGTAGTTCTGCTTTACAAGGTATAGGGCTGTGCCCATTCCCATCAAGTAAGGCGAGATTCTGGTCCACGGTCGAATGTATAAGAACGTCAACGTTCCCAACTGTTGGTCCAACCTGGGGAAATAAGTGTAACATTCATGGAGACGTCGAGCGATCAACTATTTTCGATATATCCCGTATGCTCACATGGGCACGTAGTTCAAATAGTAAGCCACGTAGGCGGTTGACAGTATCGATGCGAGGATGGTGGTCGCGCCTAGCCCCACGGCGACGTTGTAATATCTGGAACGATTGACTGGTCAGGTCTAAACGGCGACGACCGATTCGACGAACTTACTTGGTCAACACCATCATGAGGAGCGTGCCGAAAATAAAGAATTGCATATCAGTGGCCAGGTACCAACTCCAAGACAGACACTGAAACGTTTATACCTCCTTTCGTGAACCAACATCATCGACTCGACTTGGATTCGTATTTTTTAAAAATTGACATCGCAGATGTTTTAGTTTGCGTGTTCAAATCCGCGGTTAGTTGTAAAGCTCCGCTTAGTATAGTCGCGCTTACCATTTGGTCGAAATCGTAGAAGTTGTGGATGTAAAGCAAATTCCTCCACCAATACTTGGAACACAAGCTGGCCTCGTTCTCGGACGCAGGGAACAACGAGACCTTGTCGTACCAATTAAAATTCAATATCGAGAGCAGCATTACGACCAGGTAGGCAGGTGTAAGCCTTCGAAGTTCATGTAGCGGTCACATATTTTTGCGGAAAAGTCTGATTCTTGCGAATGCAGTAGGACTTGGAACGCATACCTGATGTATCGTTTAAAAATTCCTAGAACCAGATCCTTCAGTCTGACCGGCAGGCTCTTCGGCTTCTGTTCCTTCTCTATCTCTTTCAAAAGTATGTACGACAACAGGAAGCCACTGATGAAGAAGTACGTGTCCACCGAGTACGTGGCGTTGGTTAAGATTTGTAACATGAAACTAGCGGTCATGTGCAGGACGTCGATTTTGTTGGCTGCGATCGAAAACGTATCGTTTAAACATTTTCGGAAGTAGGCGAAATCCACGTTCGACGCTTCTCACCGACATAGAATCTTCCGTAATAAACGGTATGCACCATGGTGATCCAGATCATTCCAAAAAATTTCATACTGTGGAACATCATGAGAGAGTCCGTTCCAGTCTTTCCGTCAAATATTTGCAGGATGTTCGAATACAACGAGAAGCACACGATGTACTCCTCGATGGAACTTCTTGGTTTCAATTCGGTGAGCACGAAGTCTTCGTGAACGTTCTCGCGCTTCTCTTCCGCATCGTTCTTCAGTCCTGTTCAACGTTCAACCGTTCGAACGAAATGAAATTATGATCTCTCGACGAGAGTCGCTGTTAAGAGGCCTTACCATTGTAAAATTTAAAAAAAAATCGAATTCTTTATGCATTTTTCATAATTTGCATAAAGTTTAAAAAAATTTCATAGAACACTTTTTTTAAAAAAAATTCCCGAAAATGACCTAAATTTTTGGCAGTTATACTGGTAAGGCCCCTTAAGCAGTGGCTAACAATAAGTACCGGCTTACCAGGCGTGTTGTTGTTCTCGTACGACTGGATACGACTTTGGTCTTGCGTTCGTTTTCGAATCACCAGTATTTCGTATGCCGTGCTTACTATCACCAAAACGCACAACAGTAACAAAATAATTCTGCAACAAGAGTTTTCAACGGTTCGATCTTAACGGTGATCACAAACAATTTCAACCCCCTGTCACGGTCTTCATCTCGTTTCCGTCGAAACGGGGTATTCGTAATTTACGTACATAGAAGTGATCACCGATCCGTCGCGCAGCCACTGATGATCGTCTACCAAATCGGAGACGTTGATCAGTTGGAGGTCCGTGGAATAGAGCTGACCCACGAGAAGATTACCGTCGCGAAGTGCTTTGCTCAGAACCGTAGCTACGTCGTTCTTGGTGCACGACGCCGGTAGGCAAAGCCCGAGCAGTATATGATCCTTAAAAATGTAATTAGCGCATCGTGATCGCTGGTATCAAACTTCTAACGAACGATCTGCTTTTCGTTCATCAACACTAAACCTACCGACCCTTTTTCCACACCCGTTCCTACTGTACCCAGTCACTATGACTGGTCCTTAGAACGTGATTGTTTCTACAGTTTAAACGTTGATAACAATCAATTTGTCACTGAATGAATCGATGAATGAACCACTTTCATAAAACGACGACCGAACTCTAGCATTCGTATCGCTTAAATTATAAACTTAAAAGGACGATTAATTAAAACTGACTGAAAAGTACAAAAAATAATTACAAAACAATACTCGTAATATTTAGTAACGTGGAGCGCATGCAATAAATAATTGATGCGTGAATAGTGCTATTTTTATACTTTTTAGTCAGTTTTAAAAACGCGATGTATTAAAAATTCTTTTTACTTAAATAATAATGAATTTTTGCTCTTTAGTCCTGTGTGGATGTTTAAAATCTCAATTCTCTGGCTCATCCGGAAGTTGGTTCAAAATCAATTGGAAAATTCGTACCGAACAGACGGACAAGAAATCGAGCTAATAAAAACGTAGTAAAAATGAATGAGGATTAAGAATGAGCTGGTCCTGCACAAATTTGAGAACGGTCGCGGGGACCGGTGCGTAGTAGGTTCAGTGTTAAAGGTACGAACGTTAGACGATCGAGCTGCTCACCTCATACGGCAACGATAAGTGATACTGCATAGTGCTGTGGTGAAGAATATCGGCGACGAAGAAGTGTAGCTCGAACGGCACCTGCTCGTCCCTTGGGTTCCGGTACACGGAATTGTTCTTCAGCGTCTCCTTCGACATAAACCCTACCAGCGTTAAATTGCTGGAAAGGAAATTGCAATCCATCCGATCGCCCATCCAGAAATTGTTTCCACTGACGAAACCGGAAGACGTTTGCCCGCTGGCATCCAACACTTGAAAAGAAAAGCACGTCCTACTGAACGATCGACTCCGCGACGTCTTAACATCAATTTTTACCGCGTCTTCGCCACGATTTCCCGAACTCGCGTTTATTCGGTTGCGAAACCAATTCCATTTCACGCGGTCTCGCAAAAACTTCACGAACAGCTTTTTCGACTCACTGTTTGTTATTCAAATAAAAGTAAACGAACGGTTGCATAATTTACGGATCGAGAGGAAAATTCCATTTCGGGGGTCGGGCAACGACCAGGCGTGAACGCACGGTGTTTCGGAGGACAGGGACGAGCTGGCCAACAGTTGATCCCGCGTAGAAGATAGAACGGGAACAAACCGGCGATCGAAGCAATAGCGTGTACAGCCGTTTTCCATCGCGATGAAACTAGTTTCTTGTGTAACGCGCGAAGAAAGTCTCACAGGACTGACGGTGACGAAGAATCGCGACGCACGAACATAAGTCCTGAGTTCACGGGACGCATCGAGTTCCATAACAATTCACGGTTACAGGAGAATCGTCTGGCCCACGAAACGATCGCGAGGGTAAAACGTACGGCAAACAACGAACGTACGTTAAATCTTTCGTTCCCTTAATAAACGTCCTACTAACTTCTTATGCTCCATAACATGCCGCGGTCTACTCCTTCGCGGAACATTTCGATGTCGGTCCGACATCTGCTCGAATTCAAGAGATCCGTATAGTTGGTGATCGCGTACGCTGGCAGTACCTCCGACATCGTCTGCTTGTTTCGGCCAGTGGTCGCCTGGACCGTCGACGACGGCAACCAGATAGCCGCGGCCAGTAGTATAGACGAGCACAGCATCAACGAGGTCTTCGGGTTCCTCATGTTGATCTCCGATGTTGCACCGGTCGCGTGAAAACTCTCGATCGGTCGCGCGGCTGTGCGATTCCAAGGGGTTGAAACGCGGAAGATGAAGTTCAGAGGCGAAAACGCACCGAGTCTCGATCGGCACTGTGGAAGGCGAGTATACCCGCGATTTATTCGCGCGAGAGAATCCGACCAAGGGGACACGACGACCGCGAAAGGACTGCCGCGTCGAGAAGCGATCCCAGGATTCAAATGGAAAGCGAGCCGTCCTCATGGCCGGCGTCGTCATCCGGCGTTGTTTTTAAAGTGGCAACGCGAGACACCCCACCATGCGTCCGATTTATTATTCCTACCTCATGGCGATCGATCACAAAATTTACTTATTCGTTCGCTCGATGGCTCGAGAGCCGCTTGCTTCCATTTCCGGCGAAACGAGATCCATCGTTAAAAACGTTTGACCGTTCAATTTCATATTTCAATTGATTCCACTTTCGTCGAGATCGACGCGATTTACAGATCATCGTATGTACAAAAGTACAAAGTATCTTTTATTACATACATAATTTGTTTTACGTAAGTATCGATCATATTAATCTCACTCGATTTCGATACTGATTCAACGTCATCTTTTCGCATTTACATATTCACGTCCGATCGATCACCGGATGAACAGCACGGTTCGTCATTTGATTGAACCGTTCATTAATTCCTAGGCGATTAATTGACTTGACTTGTTTCGTTATTTATTAGCGGCAATCGGTCCTCCGACCTTTCTTGTCTTTCTTCACCTTCTCGTTCGAATTTCTGAAACGTTCTCCGAAGATCGTCTCTCATTGATAAGACTTCGTGAAAAGAATCTTTTCTCTTCGTCGAGTCAGGCGTGCGACCATTAGAATCGGAACGACCGTTCATGGACCAGCGGTTAACGTCGGTACGCGTGTAGCTACATAGTCGACCGAAAGAAGTAATGAGACCTCGACGAGCATCCGACTGGTTTTCGATCGGGCACGAACATGTATGACATTAACGGAAAAGGTGTCGAGTCCTCCAGATGAATGATCAGGACTGATTTAATCGTAGTTAATGGTGTCTCGCGTGAATCCCTGCACGCGTTTGCTTTCGTTCGGAATTACGGGAAGATCACCTTGAACCCTCGCACTCCCGATTATCTCGATGATCTCGCTTTGTATTGACCAACGAGAGCCGGTAGAACGTGTATGCATATCGCCTAGGACATATGTCTATATGTCTACTCCCTAAATGACTGGAAACTTTACTTATCGACTCGTTATAAGATAAATCGACGATGGAATCGTTTCTAGCACGTCGGTAAGATTTGTACTTAGGCCGCAGGGTGGATGATTCAATCTCGAGAATCGAGATGCAGGTCAATGTTAATGATCAGACCGATTTTTACACTAAGTAAAGCAAAGGCAGTTTAATAGATCCGTTCTAAGTTACACGTTTGTCGTGCAAACATTGTAATAGACGCTTAAGTGCATAAACTTTTGGGATTGACTGTATAGCCAATACATCCTTAAGGGGCCTTACCAGTGACCGCCTAAAATTTAGCTCATTTGGGGAATTTTTTTTAAGAATTTATTTGCCTATAAATGAACTATGTAATTACAATTAATTTTAATAAATATAAATAATTTTACTTATATTATATGAATACTATTAGTAGGCTGCCTCTCAAAAACTAGTTGAGATCCGACCTTGAAATTTTAGTATGATATTTTCGAAGGTATAAACTTCTAAAAAATATTCGATTTTTTTTAAATTTCACTCTGGTAAGGCCCGTTAAATCCAGTAGAAGGATGCTGCGAGGTCGCAAAGCACAGAATTCGCTTGAAGAACCGTAACGAGAGTTCGAGATCGTCGGTATTGGAAAAAAACGACGTAAAAGTCGAATTTTCATCGAAAGCGAAAGAGCTGTCTCGTTACTCAATCACTCTTAGGTTGATGGATCGGCTTCGAACTCGTATTAGGATTATGAAATTTGAACAATATTTCCGAAGGAGAATCGTAAACCCGCGTTCACATATTATGGAACCGGTCAACGCCGCTCCTCGAAACAATTACGACGAATAATAATTCTGTGGTCGATCAAAAAATTTTACGACTCGGACATAAACGTGGTTACACGTGTACAGGCATGGACGTACAGTGGACCGCGGGTTCTTACGTTAGGTGAAACATTTATCAATTTAAAAAATGATGTTGGACTCCTCTCATTCTTGCCGGACGATAATTATGTTTCCGATTTTCAAATGAATCGATTTAAAAAGAATAGTCAATTCCCACCGTGATTTGCCTGAACATTTTTCCATTACCGGTCTACCGGAAACCAGTTGGACGATTATGCAGTCAGATTTAAGTATACTTTAAGTATAAATTGTTTTCTTCTCAAATCTGTATATCGCAGCGCGTATTCATCAGCTAAAAGTTTACTTCACCTATTAGCGACATTCTTCGCGTTAAATCGTTGTTAATGGAGGTGGAAATCGGCGGTCATCCGGGGTTACGATCGTGATACAACCTTCGATGCGACCAGTTCTTCTCCTCCGTCCTTGTCCATTGCCCGCCACCTGCCCCATGCCGTTGTTTAGTTTTCGTTCAAAAACTTTCACTCGCGTCGCGGGACTAATGTTCTTGTCCACGAGTCGATTTTACGTCCGCGTGCACTGCGATTAGCAGTATCATTTCATTGGCAAAATAAATTAATTTCGTCGTGCCACGCGAAACTGAAGCAAAAACCTTTATCTAGTCGACGACAAGTAGCGGCAAAACAGTAGAGCGCCTTCTTATTCGTTTTGCGAAAACAGCTCGTAGTTTATCGCCGATTGTAAGTATTCACGTTCGTCGGATTTAAATATTGAAGCAGGCATAAAATATTAGACACAGAGCGTCTCTTGTTTGACTAACTCGTGTCATTCCTCGAGACGTTAAATGAGCTTTTTCGATCATCCGATCTTCGTTTCCGCTCGTTTTTGTCTCGCGATCCTTGGGGAAAATTTTTCCAACACTCTCGAAACATCTGCAGCCTTCGCTGTACGAGTTGAAAAACTACGAGCGAGAAATGATCAGCCAGGCATTAGTCAACATTTTCTTGTCAATATGTTAATGCTATTAACGATCATCGCGTATCATCAAGTACGATGCGTGACGTTTATAGTTTAATCAATTCGTGGAAAATTTGTCGTGCGTACATCGAAGAGACGCTATTAAAGATTGGCAGCGCCCGTGTAATCGTTGAGACAGCGAATGAGGCTCAAAACAGCGGTGTCATTTGTATTCGCGTTTTGACAACGATTTTCATTTATATTGAACCTAAAGAGTAGCTTCAGTTACGGTGAATCGATAAAATCTAGAACGGAAGATAGTTTCGCTTGTCGCGTATCTATGTTTCCTGTTTTCATGAAAACGACGAACATTCTGATACGATTTGTCCTTCTTACGCAATGCCGATACACTTAACGAAGGAAAAACTTAATTATTGCCCGGTGATTCGATCGCGAATCGTTGGCCAATTCAATGAATTACCACGAATGTTTACCGAAAGGCAAACACTCAATGTTTTCGCTTCGACTCAAAGCGGAACGCGCTCAATCGCCGAACCCTTCGAACATCGCCACGGTATCACGTACTCACGCGATCGAGTAATGTACCATTTGTCACGTAAAGGTTATCGTCCATCCTACATGCAGATCGATACATTACGTCAAACATGCAGTTCCGCGGGCCGTCGGAGCTGTTCGGCGGCCCGCCAAGACTGATAACAATACATTTATTTTATTTTTAATAACACTGGATCTAGCACATATTTGTGCAAACAACTACTTTCGACTTTAAGAAATAATGAACCTGCGAAGAGATCAAGATTAACAGACAAGCGTGTTCTAAAAAAAACTACGGCTCAAAAAATTTTCAAGACTTGGTTAATGAAGAATGTTGCCAAGTTTCTTAAAAAGAAGCTGATATTTTTCATTTAAATAATGTTAAATTAAAGACTAGAAACTTTCCATTGTTTACTACGTTTATATTCTGTGTATTACTATTTTGTATGTATTGATTTGTTTATAATAAAAGCTACGCTTCATCTTTATTCCCATTTTTTTGTTTTTTGATGTTTTTTTATATGTATCTGATGTGTTATACCAAATAATATGATCCTCGATGGTTAACGAGTTCAATAGGCCTGCACTACGAGAGTCTACCCGCTAACACGTAGAATGGTCCTTTGTAATTACATACTTTTATTGCAAATTTGAATGTTCGCGGATCCATGCAAAATGACGGATCATCTCTTATCTACGCAATCGAACGTTGCTCTTCTTTTTTTCGGACGTATGCATATTAAATGGTCCACGAGAATTGCCATTTAAATTATCGATCTCGTTAAGAAGTTAAATAAAAGTTAATAAAAGTTAATAAAGCAGTTATTAGCCTATAAACTAGTTAATAATTGGAATACTTGGTAAAAGTTTCTTCGATTAACGATTCGGTAAGTTCCATCGAGAATTAATTCGTCCAATGCATATTTTATGACAGTCATGCTAGTCCATGGAGATACATCGTGTTTACTGTAATACTCAAAGAGTTTGAAGTTGTTGCCCGACGTTGTAAGTGTCATTCGATGAAAGCCACACGTATAATTATCATAGACATATAAGAACAGACCGCGCTAGCAGTCCGACGAAGCGATAGTAGAAAAACAGAGAAAGAGAATCATATAGTCCCCCTCTGTGTCCTTGTCTAACCGTCTTTAGACAAGGACACAGAGGGAATCTATATGATTCTCTTTCTCTATTTTACTTTTATCGTTTCTATTTACAGACTCGAGAACCATTAGCGCGGCTTATTCTTATATGTCTATGATAATTATCCTGCCTGAATGATATAAGCCACTAGTGTCGCTAGTTTTTCTGCATTGTCGATATTTGCATGCACAACGCAAAGGCGAACATTTACGTCTAAAAGATGATTGACGCAAAATAGGTGAGAAATAAGAAAAAGCTTTTGCACATGTCTATCAATCATGATCGCACGACTAGGTGGTCTCATTAAAATTGATGACATCGTCCGCAGGTTCGAATGTAATTTAAAAGTTAAACGAGTCATGTGTCGAAGAAAATTTAAAACTTAATTTTTGCCTGGTAACGATTATACCGAACAGAGTTCATGGAAAAATCATGGAACGAGCCGAGAAAAAGACGACAGTTAATGACCTCGTGGCCTGGGCCACTATTGAACTCTCGAACCATTTTAATATTCATTAATTCTTTTCCAAAACGTTGCCCGAAACTTTTAGAACGTTCACGTGTCCGTACGGTGAAAGAAAAGGAAAAAGACAACCTCGAGGACACTCGAAAAACCAGTCGCCAACAATGATATTTCAGTAGAACGTTCGTGGAATGCTGGTAAAAAGGACGCTACAGCGTTGCACGTTCTTTATTCTGGCGAACCGAACCACAGATATTAGCCCCGTGCATACGGACCATTGTTTCGTTTCTCGATCTGCAATTTTCTAATTGTGACCAAGTCACAGTTTTATCTCCACCGTCGCGAATCAAAGCGAGACTTCTGATAAACGCGTCGTTTCACCGCTGCACGACTCCACACGCAAAAATGATTCGATGAACATCTGCCATAAGATCAGTCGCAACCTTTGACTACGTACACTTAGTAACAATGAGCCAGTTCAGGCTTGTGTTAGTTTCCTCTAGGGTTTATTTTTCAATGCTCGATCTTGTTATTAGCTGTAAACACAAACCGCCAGTTGCATAGGCTTCCAATGTTAAGAAAGTGCAGCCAGCATCAAATCTCCGCCTTCAAGACCTATGCATGACCAAAAAGTGGTAATTTTAGCCACTGAATTTAAATTTTACGTATATCTAACGTCACGACATTCCACAGTGCGCAAAAACCAGTTCTCAGCCTTTCTCTTTCTCTCTAATGCTTTCCACATTTTCGCCACTACTCGGATCCACGTATTCAGTTATCCCCAGCACCTCCAAACTGCGCGAAACTGGTATGGACTCTCGTGACGACAGGAATAGTACATGTGGCTTTACGAGTTCTGAAAATTTTAGATTCCGAGCCAAATGACGCTACCACGACGTTGACTAATTGTAAGTCTTTCCTAGCGGATCAGCGGTCCATTTGTACACAATCAAAGGTCGCAACAGACGTCTCCGGAATTTCCGAACAGCGCATATGTATACGATGCATCGCGAAAATTTATGCGTAGCATGCCGCGAGACCATTTTTCCGAGATAGGTACTCGCGTCTCTCGCGACCCTTTCTTACGCAAGAGGTTTTCACCTTTTCATTTTATTCGCTTTCCCCTTCTTTCCGTCTGATCTATGTACACCGTACGATTCGATAAGATCTCCCAGGATCGTTTAGGAAATTATTTCATCGTACCGGTACGACCGAATCGAATCGTTCGGAGAACTTGAAATTATGAAAATCCACGTAATTACGTAAACTCCAATTTACTCGGAGATTCGCGTGTACGAATAAATAGCGTTTCAATGTACGTGCATTAACTCTGTTCGTAACTGCAAATTAGACAAACAACGGACAGATAATTTCCTTTTTTCTTACTCGAATATTATTCAGTCGATCGGAGTCGTTAGCTAGGCGAACGTCACTGTTATTTGATGACAGATCGTTTAGGATCAAAGTATCTCCACGCGTTACCCACATTAACTTAATTACAAAGCTGTACACTTTGGATGCTTGACTCTTTTTCTCGGCCATTTATTCGTGCACGTGACACGTATCGATATTCTCCGACTAGTAACGCGGCAGTGCCTGTGATACGCGGTTTCTACCACAATCTCCTTGAAGTACCAAAGGCCAACGAGCAACAATAACTTACAATATAACAAATTCTGAATATATGTAAGTTCGTTTAATATTTTACACTCATTTTTCATTTACGTCGTTGCTATAATGTAATCTGAGAGTGGATATTCCAGAGTGCACGTGTCAAACGGTAATCATTTGTAAGTAAAACAGGCCCGACTCTATGCAAACTAAACTATGAATATTAATTGTTTCGTCTTAGCAATCATTCATAATAACGATGTGTGCGATCTTTATTTTTCGGATAATTCTAAAAGCGAAGTTTACACCAGGAAATGTACAATTTGTCACACGAATAGCTCATGCAATATATCTTCCTGAGGCGAGCCGCTGCACAGTCGGTTTTATTTAAATCAGTTTTGACGAGTCATGAAGAAATTAAGACAGATGTCCACGTAAAGCTTCTTGCACGTTGTTCATTCTGCAGTTCTAATCCTTGCGTTCCACGGCGCGAACCGAGCGATCAGCCGACACGCATGGGTTCAAATAAATTGTAACGTAACAGGAGGATCGCGAGGAAAGATAAAACGAACGGATTTAAAAAGCGCAACGAGTGTTCCGCGCAAACGGATCACGTTTGAACTCAACAATGAATGCGACAATGACAGAATTCTGTAATTTGTATAATGTTTAATGCATGATTTAAAAATATTTTAAAGTTGAAATAATGTGAATGTCGAGGATATCATTTAAGATGTACAATAAAGGGTATGCAAAAGTAAGAATTATAAGACACGTAGACAATGTGAACAGTTGCAAATCACGTACAGTCCAATTAAAAAAATGTCAAAACTGGGTATTAGAATATTAGAAATTATACGTTAAAAATTCCTTATGACCGAGAAAATCAGGTCGGACAATTTTCTAAACCTTACTCCTCTGTAATTATCTTGTCTTATAAAAGCTCATTGCTTCAAATATTGGACACAGGCTTTTTATTTCACGTCTTAAATTTTCGGCAGATATTTTGCGGCTCATACAACCTTAATTGATTTTCGACTGGAAAGAACGTTTCGCGTGCACCGCCGAATCTGATGTCTCGCCCGTTGCGCGTTCGTTTCTGTTTATTGTCAGACGTAACAGAGGCGAATTACGTCGTGAAAGCGCTCGCATAACAGTTATAATGAAACGCGTATCGGTATGTACCCGTACGGACGGATGTTAAGTCAGAGCCGTGGATTCTGTCTCCGCACGCCAGAGAAAGTAAACCGTTTCCTCTTCCTGGTTTAGGCATCATCGATGCACGTTCATCGACGACCCGTCCCCCGAACACGAACTTCAAAATCGTCCCCATCGCATTAGCCTCAGCGCTACATTTTTATCTCACGTTGCCTACGTCTACTTTTTGCTCTCCTTTGACTCATCGATACACGTTTTTATGAAAAAAGAATGTGCCACGTGTAAAAGTTATCGCGTTACACCGATTCAATTAATGATTGTTATCAGATCTGTAAAAGAATTCATCATACGGTAGTAAGTAAGTGTACCCCGTAACCATGAGTCGAACAATCATAATTTTTGTTGCTTAATGAATTTCAGGATGATATTAAGTGACCCTGCGAGGATGTCTGTTACAGATTTTTTAAATCACAGCCGCAGGTACCATGGACGTTGCTCGCTATCTGATGAACCCAGGGTTCAAGAAACCTGTACTATGACATGAGCGTAATCGACGACTGTGCGTACGAACAGAGACCTTGAAAAAAGATTTTTGTGGAATCTGACTATTTATACTTTTACGGCGCGTAGACATAATCCGAGGGGATCGAGAAAGGCCATACGTTCGATGACATAAATCGTCCGAAGCGTCAAGCAAAATGAGCGACGCGTGATTTAGCAAAGACTTTGTCGTTGCTTAATTCGTCTCAACTTACCGCAGACCTCGTTGCGTCATTGCGTGATTTTGACAAGAGACTCGTTCCCTCTGAAATACAGAAGGACGAGAAACGAGAAAGGGAAAGGTCGTTCGGAGGGAGTCGACGCTGGTAAAGAGACGAACACCAGTTGATTTTCGAAGTATTATTATCAGCACATGATAGTTTTGCATCCATCATCTCGCGCAGTAAGGATCGGACAAAACGTCAACAATTATAAATAAAAAAAAAAATATAATATTAATAATAATCACGGATCTTACGGGCCGCCGAGGAGCCGCTCCCTCGGCGGCGTTCTAGAAGCCAGTTCCGAAAAATCAAATTAAAAAGTAGAATCGTTCGTGTAATACACTTCGTAATACAGAGGCGACAACGAGTAGTCGTTACAATATTGTAAAGTATCACAACGTTTAATATCCGTCGGGGGATTGCGGTCGAGTACGTGCGCGAGTCGCCCGACGCGACTCATTTTCGTTTCAAGGAAACAGATCGTTCGAAGACTCGTTCGAAGACGCGTTCGAATAAAAATCCCGAACAGAAGGAAGAGAGGAAGGAGGAGAAGGTATGAGAACTTTGAAACGCGAGTATCGATCAAGCGAAAGGTGCCTCACCTTGAAATTTCACGAATTCTGTACATGGTCGAATCTTAAGAGGAGAAAACAGAAGTTCCGAGTATCATCGATGTTTATAAGAATCAATGAAAAAAGTCAACGACGTGTGCATATTTCGTTACATTTGCTTTTACATTTCTTACGAACGCGTCGAATTCCCGGTCTACCGATGGAATCAGGTGAAGACGCTTCTGCGGTAGCTAGTCTTTTCAAGGAACAGGGAACGATGTCTAAATAGCATTGTACGAAGTGTATCGGTGCCCTCGCGGACGTTCTCGACGTGCCTCAGACCTCGACACACCTTGACCAACGAAACGCACATCCTCTGACTCGTATCATCCTCTGGTGCCAGATCGGGATACGAGAAGAAACGAAAAAGCCCGGTCGACGAGGCGAGCGACGCGTTTCGGCCGCTTCGCCTCGAACACCTAGGGCAAAGACACGGATACGTTGAACGAAACGGAAGGACGATAAAGAAATCGCGACACGCACTGATGCAAACAGCAGCGTTGGGCAAATCCGGATAACGAACAAAGACCTCGTTTCAGCTTCCTCGCGATGAAACTGCGGATTTTTACGCGAAACTTAAATATTTATGATAGTCGAGCATTGCCGGTATGTTCCTCACATCTTCCCGCATCTTTATTTTCTGCACGTGCAACATTTCCATTCTTTTATAAACGCGTCAAATCCGCAGTCCACTCGCGACAGTTCTATAAATTATATGCGAACGAATTCTTGTCGCTAGAGTTACGTTTGATTAAGATCTCATTCATCATTTCCGAACAGTTTCATCTCGACGAAAGAGTTTATTTAGTCGCGATGACTGACGACGATTCGAATTAATTTGTTCGATGCCCAACTCTGATACGAAGCGATCGACGCGCGCTGAGATCTCCTCTTTCAGATATCCCCGTGTTCTTTGATTTCCATCGGGGACCGATAAACGTAAAGTCTCGTGAAATGTATTTAGACACGATTTCAACGCGCGTAGGATGCTCAATGAATCGCGAACCGCTGAACGTCGCGCCTCGTTTCAAATAAAAATTTTTTACACACCGACGTACGTTGAAAAAATATTGCACATTGCGCGTCGTTCGGCGACTCGCGTACTCTTCTCTATACTTCTCTATTATCTCTCTCTTTCTCTCTCACACACACACACACACTCACTCTCTCGCTCTGCTTCCTTTCGAACCGGAGACTGGCTACTTTGGCGTGAGACTCGCAAGCAGCGCGACACAGTAATCGTACGAAAATCGGGCACAGGCGTTATAGAAAAATACTGCGTTAATGAAAAATGTATAGAAAAGAAAGAGGAAACAGGAGGACGAACTGGATGGGACAGCGTCGATGGGCTCCGGATCGCCAGTTCCGACTACCGTCGATCAGTCAATCATATTTCGTCAGCGTCGCGTCGATTTTATTGTACGTATTATTGCTCGGAATTTAATTTCAGTTTCGTCAGGAAACAATGTCGCAGACAGTCCTGTAGCTATCGGTCAGCGTGAAATTTCTCGTCGGTACGGTGATTCTGTCAACCGTCCAAATATTTGACCGGTCAATATGTACCATAGGGAAGAGAGTTGCCTCTTTCAAATAGATTTAACAACGCGATATACGCTTCGGAAGGACAGTGCTAGGCAAAAAGATTTCTCTGGCTGAGAATGCTGCTCATGAAAATATCACTTAGGACAATGAGAACTGAAACACGACGAAACCCAATACTGAATTGTGCACGAGAGCTCGTAATGATTCAAAACGTAGTGTCGAAATCGATGGTTCGTTTGAACGGTCGAAATCGACGAATCGTGGACGAGAACCGTCGGATCGTTATTAGAGACCCGATACGACGATACTCCCACCGTGGAAGTCTTTTCTGGAGACGCGGATCAAAGGGTTTGTCTTTTTCTTTCGAAGCGAAAGCGGGGAGATTTGTGCATATAATCGCTGACTTCCCACTCGTCTCGTCGTTATACATCTTCTACCTCAGATTCGCTCTCGTTGATTCAGTGCTCGACGCAAAATGCCGGAGCGTAGGGGCAACGCGCTCTCGTTCCCTACGCTCGTAGTCTACTTCTCATCTGATCTGTTTTCTCAGCGATTCGTCCTTGGGCCGCTGGAAGTTTTCGCCACTCTCCTTCACTCTAGCATTCTTCGATCTCGTTCATCCAGCAAGTGTGTTCAGGCACTATATATGTACAGATGTATATATCTTCAGGCCTATATGTACATAACGTATCATCTCCTCGCTGTCTTGTTCGCGTGTCCGCGGGCGACGTGCGACCAACTTCCAGTCGCAGACGTCCCCGCAATGCTTCGATACGCTAGAGGGTCACTGATAATGGCGAACGCGCGAATCTCGCTACGAGTAAGATTCGAATCGACGCGTCGCCGCTTCGATTCTTATTCGGAACGATCTTCGGCCCGCCACTGGTCACAGGTAATTCGAGTAATGAGGGAGAAGTGGGGAGAGAACGTACGTATACGACACCGGTCATCTACCTACGCAACAATTACTACCGCTATATGTACAACGAATCGCTAACGCAGTCACCGTTGGGCTGCGTTAGAAAATTGAAAAAATCCGTATCTCTCTTCTCTTTACTTTCACTCTTCTCCTTTCTATCTCTGGATCAGGCTTAGGAATAGCGGTGTGGAGAATACGGGGGATCGTCGAGAGTACAGTAATTAGAATTAGAATAATATCACGGAAAAACATCCAGCCTCGATAATTAAATAATGTGGCACTTGTAGTCGGTGGATCTGGTTCCACCGTTTTTCGAAGTGTCTTATCGTTAGCAAAATGGAATTGTACGTTTCCTCCGCGCGGGACGAAACAGCGGTTCGATTTCTGTTCGACAACACCTCTTATCTCTCTCTCTCTCTTTCTCTCTCTGTCTCTCTCATTCGCAGAAGTTGCCACGAAAACGTCTAAAACAGCATCAAAGGCTAGAAGTACAAAGGGTCGCGACGAAGTTAAAATTCTTGAGAATATATTATACGGAAATACTATAAAGTGGAGTTGAATTCGAGAATAAAAATAAATACAAATAGTACCTTAAATAATAGTTAAACGCGATCAAAAGGAAAAATCGTTTTCTTATTTTTTTTGTACGTTAACGCGAATTGAAGCGCGTCCGGACCACTTTATAGTGACTCGCACGATCGTTCGCGCGGACAACGGAGGAACCGTGAACGCAGGTAGAAAAAATAAGTGTCGGTGCGTGTACACACTGTACGACGTTAGTCAACGTCGATCGACGAACGTTACGCATCGAGCATCTCCGTTTTCGCGTTTCTCGTTCGAACTTCTCTTTTTTTTTAGTTTTATCGCCTGAACGACGAGGTCCTCCGATTTGTTCGCGAGGTACGGAAGAACATGAACGTTGCATCGTCATTTCGATTTCATTTCGACGAATGAAGTAAATTCTGGATGCCATGCTTCGTGCGTTTCGTATCAGAGATCGAACGAGTTCAATCGGTCCCCTTACTTCGAACGTGCGATCGCAGGTGGAAAATTTGTGTCGCGTAAACCAAAGTTATTAGCAACGTTTGAGCGTGAATGACAATCTGTTCGGTGCTCGAGGCACCGAGCACCGGGAGGACATTAGCCGTGCAACTGAAAACGATGATTTAGTAAGGAGGTATCGGGATGCACTCGCGTTTCGTCGCCGTTCGAACCGTCTCTGTCGACGAATCCATCGTCTAGCAGTCTAGAACGTGATCGTTGTCCTCGCGACTACCGGGGCTCATAGACCTCGTAGACGAGCTCTGGCACTAGGGCCAACGAGAACGTCGCGCTGGCCTGTCTTGCATACTGTCTTCTCGTCCCAATAGCTTCGTGTTACCTATTATTCTCCTCCATCACTACCTGCTTGAACACACCCGCGGGCATTTGACTCTTGATCTCGTGGCTGCCAAGCGCGGTCGTACCATCCTTCGCGATGAACAATTGTAGCCCGGTTGCTGCGAACAAACGATACGGACCAATGATAATCGCGTACGTTCGACATCGGTTCGTAAACAATCGTGTCGTTAGCAATCGTTACTACGTCCTCATCGCGTCAGATGCATATTTATAAAACATATTACTTTTTCATTACTCAGTTGCATGCGTCGACACTTTTTTCCGTGACTTACGTTACGACAGTTTTCATTGATCGACTACCAACAACTCGTCGGAACAGGACGCAGACTTTTATATGAGCCAACTCATCCACGCAACGCTTGTGCAAAGACATAAAACCTGCGGCCTACTCGTCGGGAAAGTATCGCCGTGCATTATTTCCAATTCAACGGAGTAACTCACTTTCCGAAGTCTCGTCCGTTTGCTCCAAATTCGTTGCTTTGATCAGCTCGTCGATGAGGGAGTCTGGGTTCGGCCTGGTCACCTCGACCCTGCACAACACCGGGTTCCCCGTACCGTCCTCCGCTTTTTTCCGCCGCTCCAACGCGGCCTTTGCTCGGTCCAAAGATCCCGTCTCGCTGAGCCCCGACCCGCCAGAAGGATTTCTGCGAAACAAACGAACCGACGTTCATCGCAGACTGTTCTTTCCTCGGCCTCGATCTTTCAACCTCTATTTACGCGAGCAGCGGTACAGAAAAACAACGGATTGTTCATCTAAAATTTATGAATACCGAGAGTGACGGCAAACGGTATAAAAAAAAAAACTCGCCGGCTCTCCTTGATATCGGTGAACAAATTTCCGTTTGAATTTTCATCTAAATGACTGACAGTGTCTATTTTTAATAATAACCGAGAAACGGTAGATCATGTAATGATGAAGCTCGGTTTTTGAACTTTTTACGATTCTGTACCGCTCCCCGTGTTCGATCAACGACAACAAAAAAATCAGTTCGTTTCCAGAACACATCGCGTGCAAAAACACATTACCGTCGTTCGATGCAAAGATTAAGGATCGTCGCCGAGACGCGACTTTCACAGAAGCGAGACGTAAAGGTCCGAAGCTAACGTCTGGTTTTCGGACGACACACGAACATGGGAATGGGAAGCTATTAGTCATTAGCAAGCGAAGCAATGCGTGTGACAAGCGACGAGATGCATGGAGCGATCAGACTGCGAATTTGTATTTCGGGAAAACTTTGGTTCGCGGAACGTAACTATGTGCGCTTCAACATCAGTTTATGTTTCATTTATATCTTAAGTTTTGATTTGTATAAAAATCCGCAGCCTGGTAACGACAACTTCTACGGTCATGTATACGCTTGGAGGATTTGTGGTTGGCGTGCAACAAGCCAGCAATCGCAACAGTCATGAATCGAGCCATCCTTCCGAACGAATGGATGGCTCTCGAAAAGTAATACCGGAAAATCACGTTTCGTTGCCATTATCATTAACAACGGCGCTTAACTTTTGACTCGTATACTCTTTTTACAAATTTTCTTAACGAACGACGATCGGCTAAATCTGTGATTCTAAATATCTTCTGAATCTCGAGTCTCGTCGAAGGTTCACAAAGAATATTATTAACCCTTTGCACTTCTATGTCGAGTGTGACTCAACATCAGCTTTTATCTGAGGAGCTCCTTTATCGAATTCCACTAGACATTCTTTCATGTCCAAATCAATAGATGAAACGTGAGAGAGAAAACCAGGATTGCATCCTGGAAATTGTTTCAAGATATATGATACACTTGAAAATTACAAAATACAACAATAGTGTGAATAAAACTGGTGTTTAAATGAATTTTCTTCTTCATTTATTTATTTAAATTGCCTTATTTATTAGTTAAAGTAAATTTAAAATAAAACACTTAAAAGCGTTAGGAGCTGTTGGTAACGAAATTGAAATAAAATTCGGAGTGCAAAGGATTAAGGAAGAATTGACAGCGAACAAAGGTCAAGAGCCGCTGTTTCATGGAACGCTGTTCGTAGACACGTAGGGTTGCGAAACACTTTGCATTTTACTAGAACATTATGCATATTTGAAAGATTATGCATATTTGCAGATCTAAAATTACGTGTTTTATCTTATGATCGATTATTAAATCGTTTTTAAGTAACAGAAAAACGCTCAAATATGTATATTATTCTAGACGAAGTGCCGAGATAAGTTATTCTGGTATCGATTTACAAATTTTTTTGGCCAAAGCCCGCTGAAGGAGGGTAATCGATTGGCCTTTTTCTGCGCTCGTTACGACGATAAAGTAGTAAATTCCATGTGCAAGCCGCGGTCTACAGCCACGCGGAAGTTACTTTTTGCTTTTCCTCGTGTCAACTAACGTTAATCTGTTAGTTGACACCTAATATTTTATGATATACGAATTTTACTGCGCATATTAGCTTTCAATTGCAACATATTCATGCACTTACATAAAACTTGTATTAGTTACGACCGGCGATCATTAACTACTGAATTGCAGCCAAAGGAACAGGTTAAATGAATATTTGCGCATACGTACAAATAGTAAACAATTTTCCATCTTGCACAAACGTTAATAACGCGAGAATGAAAACTGTTATTTCTCTCGCAATAAGGTATTTACCCTCCGCGTGGCTGCGAAATGGCAAAGCGAGAAATGGGAGAGAAAGAAAAAGACAGAGAGAGAGAGAGAGAGAGAGAGAGAGAGAGAGAGAACGATGTCGAAAAGAAGAGATACGTGAAAGCGAAAGACAAATATGAAAGAGAAGAGAACGAAGACGAAAGCTTGGACTGACGGTGGGGTAATGCTGTTTCGGTGCTGAGAGCTCGGTGGAGCGACTTCCGGTACCCCTAAGGAGGACTCCTCGGAGTCCGCTGGGCTGGTGGCGACCGTAGCCAGCTTGCCCCCCGCCCCGTCCAGTAATTTCCGGTGGCCTCCGCCAATACCCCTGCAAGGATTCACAAAGCCATCCAAACTGGAAGCAAAGCTGTATGCCTCCTCTCTTCCGCTCCTTGCTTGTTCCCCGCTGTTTTCCCCTCTTCCGTTTACGCACCCGTTTCACCCACGATCATTCGGCGACCGGTACAACGCGAAACGTTTTCACAATTTCTGCTCTCTTTACTCGTCAGAAATCATCGAATGAACCAGATATATCGTTCGTTACGAGTGCTGTGTCTCGTTAAAGAAATTTTCTGGAAGAGCGACTGTGAAAACGTTTAAGTCGTCGGCACAAAAATGAGCTGAGGTTGAAAGGGTCCAGCGTGGTCAATTAATTTTGATTACCTCTCCCAGATATATCCCGTATGCATTGAAATAGAACGATCCAAGGAATCTAATGAACCACATCCTTTCTTTACCACACTTCTCTCAAACACACTTTTTCTTACGTCGTCACACGAGATTTTACTTTCGTACCAAAATCACGATGGTATAGAAATTATTCCCGTCGACGAGCGGGCGCAGCATTCGGTTTGAGAAGGACATCTTCGAACTCTACTCTTGTACTCTCATCTCTACTTCACACTCTTTCAAACGATCGCGCTTAGTCGCGAAGCAGCTTGTATGTACAAGTACTTAGATTTACGAAGACGATTATGATCCAATCGTCTGGATTTTAGCGATTTTGCTTAAGATATCCGCGCGCGATTAGTAAAGCAAAGCGAAAGCTGATCCCGTAACGAGTATTGTGTTTTGTAATGTCTTTTGTTTGATGCACGCGGTCGTTGTTTAAGCTTTACACGTACGTACAGTAAATTCGTGTTTTTTGCTGTCGAGTGTTCGGCCGACGTTGATATCAAGCATCGCTTCGAGGAAACGTAAAACGATATGCGAAAAGTAGAAAGCGAGGAAAGAAATGAATGCGGATTACACTAAAGACGCACGATTTGTCGATGCGAAATGATCAACCGAATAAAACGAAAGACAAGCGGTAATTGAAAAATATAAGGTCTTGCGTTTCCGACAAACCAAACAAATCGAAGTTAAGAGTAACGCAGGAGAAAGGAGAGTAGGACCTCGTACGTCAACCGATATTTACAAGTTGCTCGAGATCGCAATCGTGTTCGATGACACTTTGGCTACCCAAGAAATTCACCCCAAAAATAGACAAGTCGAACGAACACGTATAACATCCAAAGTATCGATTCCTTTACGCAAACGATGTACACGAAGCGAATTCGAGTCGATTTCTAAAAGAAATCTGCCGCACGCGATACTCGCTCAATGTCTCCACCGGTTACGACGTCAGGCAAATCTTTAAGGAACTTAACAAAGCCAGTGGCAATTGCCATAAATAAAGAACACAGCTGAAATAGATGTAATGAGAGATGAAATAAATGGGACGCATCATCGAACGAAGGGGGACGGAGGACGGAATGTTTAATTAAAAATTAATCGTTAAAAGAGAAAGTCGTTTGACAAATGAAACGTACCTGAGGGTCTGGGCAGTCGTCGCGGAACGTAGCGAGGCTCTGGGGTTATCGGGCCTATGAAGGGGATCCGGGGAGGACACGGCTCTGGCCTGATCGACCAGTCGCAAAACCGGGCTCGTCTTGCCTTTCTCGATACAGTCGCAGGTCTTCGATATGCTCCGCCAACCCGGCTGACCGATCCTCGGTTTCGCGAGCGCCGCGATCACGCTGTTCTGTTGCCCGTTTCGATCGGCCGTCGCAGACTTCGCGGCGTTGTACTCATTACGCGCCTCGAAACTCTCGAAGTTCTTCCGCAACCGATGCGGTACGTCCTGCGGCCCAGGTACCCTGAACACGCCGAGTTCCTCGTTACCGTCCTCGTTAACGCGATTCGCGTCCTTCGAAACGACGCCGTTCCTCGATCGTTCGGCCTCCTTTCGATTGTTCAACATCGCGACGGACACGATGGCCGATCTGACGGAGCTTCGCGAGGCCGATTGGCGAGACGAGAGGGGGCTCGACACAGACCAGAACCGATTTCGGGGGTCCAGCAGCATTAGAGAAGATGTGGGAGGAGGTTCGACGTCGAGAGAGGTCTCGGGTCTCGGAGGCTGCTGATTCGAGGAGTTTTGGGAGACATTGGGTATACGTGGAGCCCATACCGGCCAGGAGGGTGACCTATAAAGATCACAACACAAATATTCAAGCATGCAAAAAATAATAATAAACTCATATACGATACGTAAAGACAGAAAGAGGAAATCGTGGGAGAATAAAAAAAAGAAAGAAATACGTTGGAAGAAGAATCCAGAGTCTCTGATTATGGAAGAAAAAGAAGAGAAGGGAATAAAAGTGTTCTCATCGTGCGTCGCGATCGATGCTGTTTGTCGTTAACGGCCGAACGTGTGCTAGACGAACGGTATAGCGAATGTACCGGAGTATGATCGTAGATTTGACGGGGTAAAGTCAGTGTGCGTGTTTATGTACCGTTTGTCGAACGTTAGGCATCGTAACTCGACGAGCACGATCGATGGTAAAACTCGAAAGATTCTATAGAACGATCCGCCGACAAGATGGAAACGTAAGCGACAGAGTATCAAAGCGAAATTGCATCGCAGTTAGCGATCGTTAATGCGCGCTTCGAAGATATTGTTAGTGCGAGCGTTATTACTAGGATACCCTTTGCTGCATCTTTCACCCGAATTGTAATATTCGGACAAGCAACTGTATTCCTGTCACGAGATTCCTCCCGTATGGCTCTCCCTTTCGAGGTACCATGCTCGCTCGTCGCTCAAACGATATACCGAAAGTCAAAAACGCGATGATCGTGACCAGGTATGTTAAACGTCGAGAACAAAAAGGAAATTCTCGAAGTAATCATTACGAAAGAGATCGAGAGAGTGAAATATTGGGAATGTGGCGAGGTAAATAACAAGCGATTAATGAGACGCGAGAGGTACTCGAAAAGTTTTTGTTACAGAGAGTAGAGAACTCTGGACGTTAATTAGAACTGTTTTTCTAAGAGCGGTACGTAAAACCGACTGATTCTGTTAAATCTACTTTTCAGACTCCAAGTTCCCGATCGAATCTTTGATCTCCGTTCGTTTACTCGGAAAAAGAGCTTTCTTTTTGATCATCTATCCGTTTGGTGGCCACTCGGCCTTACCTAATGTGGCCACTGTCACCACTACTGCTCTGTCTACTGTGCTGACTGTGTGAATTCAAGGATCCATAGCCGGATCCTTTGCTCAGCTGACTGGTGTTGCTACTGTTACGGGAATGGCCCGACTCCGTGTGCGCTTCGGCCAGAGTCTCCACTGGAAGAGCCGACGGTACGATCTCGCTCAAGGTCATCGGATCGTACGATTCCGCTCCGCTGAGGAGCTCTGAAAATTAAATAACGAATAAAGCATTCACCAGCTGATACGAATCGTATTAATTTGTGTTGAGAATTCCGAGGTGTTAAGAGTTCTACCGGAGCCGAACGACGAAAGAACACCGGGAAGTCCTCAGTAAAATTTGATCATTACCCGAGGAAAAGAGAGCGGGCCTCTTTTTAGGAAGACTGCCGAAACCGCTGCTGGCACTGGCTATACTCCCAGCCAAGGATCCGCTGGACACGTAGTCCTCTCGGTTGGTGCATCTCTCGGACACAGTCACCTCGTCCGCCGTCACGCCAGGAACACCTGGTACGCCAGGTACAGCGAGCTGCGTCTGCTTCAACGACGGAGACGGCCTGCGGAGAAGAACACATTCCTTATCGACCCGTTTGTATCGTCAGTTCTCTCTGTTACTGTCGGTAAATCACAATTATTTCTAACGCGAGTGGGTCAGTAAAAAACTTCAGGCGACTCACACTTTGAACAGGATGTCCCCGGACAGCATGTTCATCTTGATAGCGACGCGCAGCATGGAATTGTCCTGTCGATGCCGCGCGTCGTAACCTTCCAGAAGGCATCTCGTTCTGCAGAGTCCAGCTCCTGCGAATTCGGCGAGGTTCAGGTCGGTGAAGCCGAGTTTTTGGAAGGACCTGCCTCCCTTCAATTCCTGCGAAACCACGAAACGATCTCGTTCACGTCTGTTTTCTTCTATCGCTTTCACATCGATAGTAAATAAATATTACAGTTGTACGCGAGGTTCGCTCATCTTAAATTACCTTTCTCACGGATATCCTCAAAATGCAGGGGTCGAGAATACCGGTAGACGCGTTGGCACTCATTTTGCATAAAAATTCGAACTTGGCGTTCCATCTCACCGTGTGCTCTTGCACCTCTTCCCTGTAACGAGGAGAGAAACGATCAGAGAGACGTAATTGTATAAACGTTAATTGAAATGTAAATGAATTTAGAGCACGGATCGGGTCTAGTTCACGGGCATGATTCCGTGGATTCGGGGACACGATCCAGCAAATTCTCGCCGGGAACTGCTATAACGAATTAAATGAATATTCAGAGTACTTTGTTTCCGGTCACCGCGCCGAGTGCGCGTGGTCGTTTTACCACTGCGTATCTAATCGTACGAAGGGCTAGTTCATACGTGTCATCATTTATGCGTTCCGTGGTGAATTTCCGATGAGCTCGCGCGGAACTAACGTCGCGCACGGCCGTATTTGGTGTACGCGGTGTTTGATGAACGACGTCCCGTATTTTCGGACGAACGTCTCGGGAAAACGTTAGGAAATCGAATCGCGTGTACGCGTGGACGTATTCGATACGAACTACGAGGTACCGTCGCTCTGTGAAATCGTTCGAGATGAGAAAGGTCGAAGGCCACGGCGGTGCGAGCCGTAAGGTTTAGGAAGCTTCTTTTTCATCGACGGCACGGAGAAGTAGACGTCTCTTGTTATATTGATAGCTCGTGAATAAAACTCGGTGGCCGCAATTCGTCCGCCGGATGCCTCGTCACGTTCGTAGCTCCTTCTTCTTGGCCGAGTGAAATACGCTCCGGAAATGGCGTGGTCTTTTTAATCGACCGGAAGATCAAAGCGACGTACGCCAAACAAAAAATCCGCCTTTATCGAATCGCGCTCCAATGAAACGTGTGGAAAAATAAATGACGAAGTTGAACTTTCTTCACGGCGACTCATTGCCCCAGATCCTATCTCGTTCGTCGGCAAACTCATTTCCAGTTTCTGTGCCTGTGAAACGTAATTAGCCTTGAACGTTCGTTTGAGCTTCGTCCGATTACTTTACACGTTTCGCCTCGTTAATAATCATCTTTGCCGCATAAACGAGGATTCAGAACTTTCCGGCACGGTAGAAGAGCGACTGAGAAAGCAGCGATCGATGCACGATCGTCGCGTCGAGTTCCTCCTTGGCATTTATCAGGTTCATGGACGCACGAGATATTTCATAATATATTCATTTATTTATTTATTTATTTATTTATTTATTTCACGGATTTCAAGAATTCGTTTCACACAGTACAGGTATAAAAATAACAAAAACGAGCAGTATATCAACAACACTGATAAGTCGAACGGGCATAAGTATTACAAAATCATAATGACAATGATATATAGGTTTTTTCTGCGAGTAAAAATTACATGTTACATACAGAGATAGATAGATACAAATGTTGAATTATATCTGCTTTGGATGGCCGCTTACTTCGAGTTAGAGCATTGAACTTGATTTCAGTTAATACTGAGGGAGAATCAATATAATTTGATTAAGTATATTACGCTTTATTATTATGCCGCATCAATTCGATTCTTCTCTACGTAGCCGCTTTCCGACCTTTCGATCGGGACAGGATACACTCGTTCGATTAAAACTTTCTAAAATTACTCGACATCTCCGGTTCTCGGTGCCTCGACGGAAGTTCGCATATACTGGCTGACACTTTTATTTTCGATAGTTCTCAGGAATCAAGCTTTCCGACGGACACCGGATCACGGATGATCCCATTGCGGATAGAAGTAGTAACCGCGTGACTTTCCTGCCAGCCGATGCACGCAACTGGACTGACAAGAATTGGGCCAACTGATATCGTTGACCGACCGAATCGCGTTACATGCGTTTACCAGCTCGTAGTCGGTACAACATACACACGTCCCAGGATGCTATTACGACGTGACACGAGTCTGGATCGGCGAACAGATTTCACAGGTCCGTTCCAAGTTTAAAATCCACCGGCTAAGAAGCTGATAACCGATGTTATTTAATCAAGGGTCGCGTTTCGTAGCAACGGGTTCGGCAAATAGAAACGCGACGCGGCTGCAAAACTTATCGATTGTTCAATAAAACACGTGTGTATCAGGGAATCGAGGCAACCCGGAAGCACGATTCAACGTGTGTCTCCCTCGCGTGCCAGACGACTGTTCATTCAGACTACGCGGTGCTCGTTGTACGATCACGACGATTTATAGAGAGGAGGAAGAAGCCCCGTCGTTCGTCCAAAAATTGTTCCTGTTCTCTCGTTTCGACCATAATTTCATTCAAACGATTCATGATTCACGGCACGATTCGTGTATAACGATGCCACGTCTGCCCGTGGTTGACGCGACACGGTCCGGGCTGTTGGCGCGAAAGCTTTCGCGTGTAGTCGACGTTCGATGCACAGTGTGTAAATTGTAAAACCCTATTTATACGTGTGTCTTCGGTGTTTCACGAGCGCTCGAGGAAAAACATATTTTTACGCCTCCGGACGGTAACGCGTTAACGATACCCGACGTCGATGGGACACGAGTGGGCATGCACGTTGACCCCGGGTGGAAACGTCGATTAAATGCGACCACCGTGTCGTCCCCTGTAATATGTACGCGACAATTACTGGCGACGCGGCGGCTGTCAGCGTGGGATCGTCAACAGGTCTTCGAGGAGACTCTCGCTCATCGCTTTTGCCCTTCCATGCGAGAGGAGTCTCGACACGGTTAACGAACAACGCGACGCCTTGAATATTTCACGCTGCCTCGCGGTCACGGTTTCATATCCCACGTTCGACTACGAATTACACGATACGTCAAACGACGCCTATTTTTCCTCCGGTCAATCGTTCTGTCCCACCCCGTCCGTCTCCAGTTTTCGTGATGAAACGAACGCCGTAACGAGGCCAGAACGTTTCAATGTTCTTCGTAGCTGCTGCGGATGGTTTTAAATTCGCGTCAGGGAACGTTGGATCGATATCGAGGGAAAAGAAAAGAGGAAGGCGAATAAGCCGGCGGACCACTGCAGCGGCAGCGTCTTCGAGGACGATTCGAGCGAGTCGTTGCTCCAAATACGTCACTGGTCGACGTTCGTGGGGCGCCACGACGCCGAAAAAGAGTGAGACTGTTCGTCTCGGCTACTCCTGCTGCTCGGAAACAAAAACAGCCAACGCGAACTTTCCTCTTTGCTTCCTTTTGTGCCGCGGGAGACCGAAGCCAAATCTCGCGCAGATCAGAGAGACCAGTTCGCGTATTCGTAACGTCGCACTGATTTTTATGCAAACTATTTTTAATGCGAGCATAAACAATGAATTCCGACCTCGGATTCCTTTTACCCTCGGAATATAATTCGTGATATTGATTCGCAGACAATGGGTACCGCGGCCTTGCCACGATTAAGTTTCGTCCATAGAGGTCTATTGAGCCGATCACGGTCGAACTCGCGCCTGTTGTCCCCTTAAAATTAACGAGTCGAATCACGGCGCAAGCGTTTACGTAACGAGAACATTATTTTACACGCGTCGGGCCAACGGTAAAGACGAACCCAGCGTATATCGACGGATCGCGCGAAGGCGAAGTTCTACTCGAGCTGCGAACCGAGCATCGATACGCGATCGGTGAACAACGGCCAGCACAGCTTTCACCGAGTTCGAGGGATCGCGAAAGAACACGAACGAACGTACGTTGCATTAGCCGTGGGCAAGGCTGTTCCAAGGCTGACCGGATCGTGTGTCATTCGCAGTTTCGCAATCCAGTTCAGATGAAAATGCATGCCGCCTAGTCTCGTGCACCTTGTCTCTCGTAACGAACCAAACGCGGCGACTCCTCGAACGGGCGCATCGTGTTTTAACACTAGAGTCTACCAAGGAGGGTTGAAACGACTCGTTTGGCATTTCTCATAATCGTTATTCATTTTCAGTACATTTTGTTTCCTAAAATTTTGTGACTTTTTCTAAAATATGCAAATAACTAATTCTGTAAAACAGTTCTTTTTTCTTTTTTTTGTCTTTTCGATGTAAAATTGTATTACGTACCGAGATGAGGACCCCACGGAACGTAGGTAGAAGCGTAATTATTTTGAAAATTATTGTTATTAAATATTAGTCGCTGTCAGGTCGATGCAAAAGTTCGTGCCTGATTTTTATAGTCGAGTCACATCCGATCGTACTTCGACATAAACGTTTGTTTCAGCGTTATGTCACGAATCTGTCGAAAGACAGTATAATCCGTGAATCTCGGACACCGATATCTACTTCGAACTGGCCAATCTTTCAGTTTCTCGATAAAAAGGATCCACGTGCTCGTAAAAGGAACAATAGAGAGCAGCGATGGATGACTGCATAAAAAAATTGTATCATACGACGTAAATGACGATGTGTGAACGAGACAATGTCTTATTTGAAACTAGGCAAGGACACTTGCATCCGATACATGTAAGTCGTTTCTGTTCTTTTATTGGAAGCCTGAAGCAGATTGGAGCGATTCATGACTTATGTATATTACGACGGCTTCGTAACGACGACACGCGCCTCGAGACCGTCGGTCATCGCCAGTCGTACGGAGTAATTATGCGGATGACTTCACGAACGAGGTCGATCGAGGAAAAAACGGCGACTCGAGTGGGCTCTTCGATGGGGCGACTGCCGATGGATTTATTCAGAATCGAGTCCGATCATGGTTATTTTCGTTCGATGGACGCGACGCGTGGTTAACCGTACGACGTGATCGATACATAGACGGATATCGGGGCGGTGAAATCTCGTCGGCAATCACTATTTCTGATTCACCTTGCACGTGAACCTTCGCCGTGACGCGTGCCGGGCACGATGCGGCGCGATATTTTACCGACCGACTCGACTCCCTCCGTTGAATCGCTGCTCGCCCACCCGATATCTCGTTCGCCTTCGACCTCAAATATTCCACGCTATCGCGCTCCTAATCTGGCTCAATGAATTAACGTCGAACGCCTATCGAGCGGTAAATCTTAATCTCTCCGAGGTGTAACGTCTAATCGTCGTTTCGAACCGCGTTCCAGCTAAAAACGAATCGTTTCCCACTGACGTCGACGTCAAACACCGTTGCACAATCTGACGTTCGCGCGACCGTTCGATTCTTACTGCCACAAAAAAT